CTCGCCAGGTCGCTGCTGCTTGACTGTTCTTCCGGTCGCTTTTACTGGTCATCGTCGTCGCCTCACACCTCCGCTCCATTCACGGCCAGTTCTGGAACCGGTTTCTGTTATTGCTTGTCGCTGTTTCGTGGCGGCTGCTTTTGCAGCTCTCCGTGTTTTTGTTGGCGCATTCTGGACTTGGCTCTCTCTCTTTGGATTGTGTACTCTTATAGCAGAGAAGCCTTGGTAAAGTAGGTCTGGGGTCTTACTTTGCCTTCTGTGGAGTTCACTTTCGTCCACGAAGTGCTACAGATGATGTTCAAATACAATGTCTATTATTAACAAAATCGTGTGTGGAATTAATCTAGTGTTAACACTAATAATAATAATAACAACACAAAAAAAAAAACATCATTTTATTTAAATTACTTTCTTGTTTTATAAAAAAATTAAAAAAAAAAAGTTTACTTCACCTTGTAACTACAATTTTGTTGTGCAAATGCATTTGGATAAAACCAATACCTGTGGTTTCCTTCATTAATTCCTTGTTTTTTCTTCCAATGTAGAATACTGAAACAATTAAGCGACACTATCATTTCAATCTAAGCTTATAACTACTTGCCAACATGGTTTTTGTATGATTTGAGTAAATATGGTATTTAATTTGTATATTTTATGCCTATACTTACATTGTGCAACTTTTTCTTAAAACAAACGTTTGCTCAAATAATGAAGGACATAACAAAAACCGTTAATGTAAACTGATAAAGTACACACTTAAAGTTCAATTTTTCATGTACCAAGTTTCATTAGTAAGATGTGCAGCCTTCTCTTATTATCTCAACAATATAAAACTACATTTAGATTATATTAACAAAAAACAGGTCCGCTTACGTGAACCAATCACACACAGATTCCGTGTGTTCTCATATGACCCACAACTTGCAACGGAAGGGAATGCCCAAATAAAGTAAAACTGAGAGGTGGCCAACCTATAACCGCAACAGGGAGTGGGGGAATTAGGGGTTCCCCTATGACCGCATTGAAGGAGAATCGGGCCCTATTTGTGGCCCCAAGTGTTAATGTCCAGGGTGCTCAAAGCCAGAAGGGGGTCAGTCAGTCTGACGGCCCAGATTCTGGAACAGGAATATTAATTCGCTTCATTTATTTCGAATTTTCTTTTTATTTTCCTTTGGAGAAAAAGGAGATAGAGGCAACTCAGTAAAGCTAAAGTTTTCCAAATAAAGGTACGAATACATTAGTTCCAACACCCAACACCATCTTTAAATTTGCTCTAATTTGAAGTTTCAAATGTTATGCTTGAATACATATGAGTTGTTAATGCATGAGGTACGTTGGAGTCCAGTTCACGGTGTTGTATTTGGGAGGAAGGGGGGCAGGCTTATCCTGCCCGTAGATGAAAGTTTCAGGAGCGGGCAGGAGTGAGTGCATGGGGGGTTTGTCTGTGGGGGAGGGGGGCAGATTCATTCAAACTCTGGAGGGGCAGCGTTGTTGTAATTGGGTGGCTGGCGGTGGTCGTGATGATTGGGGGCATGCCACCCTGGCAGGGACTAGTTAGGAATAAATAAATAAATAAATAAAGGAGCCTCACAACCCACACTTGTTTTATAGTTTTTTCTTTTTTATAAAGAAAAAAAAAGTGTGTACAAATAATGAAGTTTAAAGGAGGTAGAGTGGCAGAGCTGCCTAAGGGAAAATCATATAGATCCTTTTTTTATGCTTTATAGATGAGCAAGCATCTAAAGCTGTCCATGGCTTCCAAACTAACGTTGTTTTGAGATGGACATTTGAGAAAGCGAACAATTCACCAAACATTGTTACTAAACAATTCACTTTAAAGTATGAAAGTCAGTTCTTCTATGTGTATATATATATATATATATATATATAATATCATTGTTAAATTGGCCCACATATTCACTATATCAATCCCCTCATCCTAACCATCATCAAAAAAAAAATCTCCATTGTCAAATCCATATTAGTCAATAACCAATAAAAAATGATTGGATCCTCAACCAATGATAATGAGTGAGTTGATTTAGTAAATATTTGGGTCGATTTAACAATTCCCAATATATATTGTTGTAAAATATATTGACTATCATTGTTTAATATGATGCGATTTTTTATGTGGTGTGGTTTTGATTACTGTGGGTTGCATGAATTTCTATCACTTTAGAGTGGTCTATTTTGATTCATTTGATATTTTAATTTAGGATTTGAGGCTTCCGTGCCATGTAATATTCAAATGTATGGATCATATATTACATGTTTCAAGTTATGACACTCTTTACAAGCCAATGACCCAATTAATTTGTTTAATAGAATCATTCTATAAAATATAGCAGTGTTATTATTACGAAAATAGAACTGAAAATAAGAAATGATAGCAACAATTCCAAAGGAATATATATATATATATATATATATAGATAGATATTTTCCGTTAGGTGCTAGAGTCCTGCATTATTATTAAACAATTTATTGAAAACCAACTGCTTGAAAGGACTTGTGTCAATGGTTGTATTTCTCGTTAAATACAGAGATTCCACTTGTCTTTTTATTGGTGTCTTGTTTAGAGTTTGTCAAGACAAAGTATCAATACATATATGATTAATGTGTAAATCATGAAAGTAATATATATATATATATATATATATATATCCATGTACACTCACATAGGCACACGCATAAAACATGTATGCCTCACATTATAAATTTAAATTTATGAAAACATACTATGTTGTGTGTGTGTGTGTATATATATATATATATATATATATAGAGAGAGAGAGAGAGAGAGCTGTGAAAAATCACAACCAATTAATATAAAGACACTCTTGCTGTTGTTGCTTTTGTTTGTTTGTTTGTTTTAGATTTTATTCCAAATATTTTTTTAAGTATTTAACCGATGCATGACAGCATTCTGAAATATCCTGTTTATTTTCACAAAATAACTTCGATTACGCATGATACTCCAATCATAATATCACTTTCAGAGCTTTTCTGTAACGCTGTTTGAAATGAAGCTAGGCAACATTACAAATAGTAAAACTAGAATATACTTGAACAATGGCTATTTTTTTTACTGGACAAGAGCAGTATTCACGGATATTATTTTAACGTTATTTTTATAACCAAGCCAAATTCAAAGGCAGAGGATGAGACGCTAAGAACTGTGTTGACTTGCTCCTCCATTCTTCACTCGGATTCCCCACAAAATCTGTAACCCTAATTAGGGCTCTTAGACCCACTTAGGCATCCTTGTGCCACACTCCTCGTATTCCAATACGAATACAATACGCTAAATGCGTATTCGTACATATATACGCACACAGGCTAGTTTTACACGTGACTTGAATTGCGCGATGGCCAAACCGCGGGTCCCCGAAGCTGAGAAAGGTCATGGTTAGGAAGGTGGTTGGGTAATTGTGGGGACTTGCCGAAGCACAGGTATGGATGGCGGCGTGGTCTCCCCTCAGCTCGGTATGGAGGTCTGGGTCGAGAGAGTGATATTCTAGAACTCCGCCACATTTTATTGTTATTATTTTGTATTGAATTTGTCTATCAATAAGAAATTAGTACCAATTATATTAATCCCAGTTTAATATGTTTTTATATATATATATATATATATATATGTGTGTGTGTGTGTGTGGTTCATTAGTAGACATGTAATGTATGGTACAAGATGTTGCATTGTCATATATTGATTTGAGTTGTAAGTTTTTTTTTTTTTTTTTTTTTTTTTTTTTTTTTTAATTCACTGTTTTTCAAAGTCACAATAACGTGTCAACTTAATACTCGTGTGTTTTTTATTTTCATTTTTATTTATTTTTGCAACGAGAAGGAATATTAATAGTTCGTCTAATCTGTGCGAACTAATAGTGACGTCTCACTGACCTTCAAAAAAAGCTCAAATGACCCGTTAAAAAAAGAAAAAAGAATCAGAAAACAAAAAAATCTTTTGAAAACCAGCAAAGTTTATAAATTTTGATCATAAAAGGTAATTTTCAATTCATCATATTGAATATACATTCTCTATTACTTTATTTTATTTTTGAAATTCTTCTTCACAACATAATAAAAATATTTTAATATTTTTGATACTTGGTATCAATACTGTAATGAATAAACCCATATAACTTACAGCATTCATAATTACATTTAAAAGTGTATAATTTATGTAACAGGTTTGAAAATGCAAAGGTACGAGCATGCTCATCTTTCTCAGTTTCCTTTATAATATTTTGAACCAAATTTGAATTGCCACATATTTACATATGTTAATATTTGGAAGCCATGAAGGAAACCAACATACCTCTAGTTGATCGTCTTTTATAATTTTCTTTTAAATGAAATTTAACAAAATATACTCATAGAACGCACAAACTTAGAACATATACTATTTTGTTATTCAATGGAGACAAGAGGAAGTACAAAAGATGAGCCTTCTATCAACAAAAATACTGCCATCAAACCATTTTAGTATATTCGTTTTGCACCGATAGTTTCTGATAGTGTCTGATAGTAAATAAACGAGTTTGTCTTTTTACCACGCAGTGAAACACGAAAACAAGCGCCTCTCAAGGTAAGGAAAACAAAAGGCGACGAAAAAGGCGATAAAAAGGCGCAAGAACCGAAAAAGGCAGTCATGCGAAAGGGGAAAGGGGAGCTGTGTGAGGGCTACGGGGTAAAGTGCATCAGAACAAAGCTGCTCTGGGCCAAAAAAAAAAAAAACAAAACAAAAAAAAAAACAAAACGAAAACGAAAACGAAAACGAAAAAGCTAAAGGAGCAAAATACGAAAGCAGGCACCTGTTGCGGGGACACACGGTTTGGCGGAGGAGTGGGGGGTTGCCCCACCCATCCCACCCGTCCCACTCGCGCCGCTCGCTCGCGTCTGTAGCGGCAGCGTCGCCTGCCGTGCCGTAGACCTGGCCCAGCGTCCAAAGCGAAGCGGAGGAGCGGAGGAGGAGGAGATGGGTTGTGGTGGGGCGCCAATGCTCTGATGTGCTGAGCTCTGCTCTATTCTACTCTCGGTGCCTGCCTTGCTCGGCTGGGCTTGTATTGTCTTTGTTTAATGCCAAGTTTCAACCGTGGTTTCTGATTCCGTTTTCCTGTTTGGCTCCTTTCGTAGAGCTCATTCTCACTCTCACGACCTGATTCTTCATATTCTTCTTCCTCTTCTCCGTGTGTCGTCTCCGTGCTGTGCCTCTTCATCAGGGGTGCGCGTTTAGCCACAATTTTTATTTGGTTAAGTTTTCGAGAGACGTAAGTGAGTTGTTTCGTCGACGGAAACCGGTAGTGTTAATTGTAGTAGAGCTGAGGTGAGACAAGAGAAGGGTGAGAACAGGCTTCTTCTTCTTCTTCTTCTTCTTCTGGGCAAGGAAGAGATTGGGCGACAACGGAGTTTTGTTGCAGGGAACTTCGGCGGTGTCGGTTGCCTGGCTGCGTGGTGGTGGTGGTAGTGGTGTGGAGTGCGGGTGAGTGTTTTTGTTTAGGTGCGTGGGCACGCTGAGAAGGAACGTGAGTGTGAGTGTGAGTGTGGGGGCAGGGGAGTGGGAATGTGGGGGCCGGAGGGTGGAAATGTGGGTGGGAGAGTGATTGTGGTGGGAGCCAGGGATTTTGTGGGAGAAGAGGGTGGGTGTGACGTTATTTTCTCTGGGTTCTCAGGGTTGCCGGGGATTCTCCTCCGTCAGCTTAGGCTTTGAGAGTTTTTGTTTGCCATTCTGGAGTTGTGGGCGTTCTGGAGCCCTTTTCTGGGAAGGGAAATGGGATACGAGCTCAGAGGAATGTATTTGATTCCTCTAGGGGAGCTTCTTACGCAGGAATATGTAGTGGGTTAGCTGCCTGTAGCCCCTTAAGTGCCATCTCCCACTTGTTTTTGGGCTGTAGTGTGAGGTTTTGCTATTCGCTGTGGCGTGAATGAGAGTGGCTTCGCCCAAGTTGTGCTCGGGTGGGTTGCGAGTTGTAGCTTTAGAGTGAAGCTCCGAGATTGTTGTCTCTGTGGTCCGCAAGTGGTGTTTTCTTGGTTAGTTGGTGTACGGTGGCGCTGGGAAAGTAATGGGTTTGTGAGTGTCTGTCGGGTGGCTTACGGTGCTAGAGGTTGGATCGTGCAGCTTTATCAATGAGAAGCGACTGGAGTGGAGTTCGAAAGCCGCTCGAGTTAAGGGTACGTTCTTAGTAACGCCTCTGAGTAGCCGCACGTGAGGGAAGTGAGAATTGAATTGGGTGCAGAGGCCTTTATTTGTCTAGAAAAGACAAAATTGAGCACACGAGTGGCTTTCTTCGCGGCCGTCTATCTGAAAAAAAACATGATTGCTCGCTCTCATGGCGCTTCAAAATTTGAAATTTCGACAGTCGGTCCTTCTGTAATTTACTGCCCACTTCATCAGTGTCACCGAAACGAATTGTATGCAGACTTTAAGGGAAGCGTAATCACCTGAGCGTTTGCAAGCACTAGCGTACAGCTGAGCGAGAACCGAAGTGTTGTCTATCATAGCGTTTGAATGACGCCAGTTTTGCGGCGGAAAGTAGTGCCAGCGAAGATTTTCATTTTGAGAAGGGTATTATGCCAGATTAGTGGGCTAGTTAGCGTGTCCCAACATACGTCCTCCTTCTAGCGTCGTTGCCATAGCCTTGCCGAAAATGCTAGTCGCTTCTGAATTCTGAGTGTCGCTCTTTCACCGATAATCGAGCAGCCTTCGTTTGGAAAGCACATACCATGGCACACATGACTGATAGCGGAGTTATATGTGGATACGTCTTCTTGCAGAGAAACTGGAGGAAGTGAAGGGATGCGAAAGAAGAAAAGAGCCTTACGTTGAACTTTGCATATTTGTATTCCTGCCGAGCTTTCGTAAGCAGCTCAATTGTGCCCTCTTAATTTAACGGAATGTTGGTCATGGCGGGCTTCCATTTTACCAGTGCATGGGAACGCATTGCTGATTGCAGAAGCATCATCTGTCAACCCACAGTTTTGTGCCTGCTGAGGTGTACTCTTTGTTAGGGCTGGCTACAATGGTGTGAGTTTTCAGGCACTGGGATTTTTAGCAGTTAATGTGTAGCATGGCCAGAATAAGGCCTGAAATGAAATTGAATAGGTACTAGTGTTTGATGTTCGTTTCTTCGTGTTGGCACATTTGGGTGGTGAAGGTGATGGTAGAGTTTTTTTAAGGAAGGAGAATTGGAGGATGAAAAGAAACCCGTTAGGAAAGTTTTGGAAGAGGTTGGCGCGGACAGTAGAGGAGGTGATGCAGTTCCAGTTCGGGTGATGGTGCGGCTGGTGGTGTTTGTGGGAGTTACAGATAGCGAAATTGTGCCGTGGCTATGGCAGTTTTAGTTTCCTTTTTGTTGATGAAGGCAGTTCCGACGCTCTTGTCCTGTTTCGCGTTCACTTCTTTCTCGCCCCTGTTCTTTGTCGGGTCTGTCTCTTTCTCATTGCTCTTCGTATCGCTATCGGTCCTCATCAGCGTGGTCTCCTTGTGCCGGAATCCGCACGATGAAGTTTCCTCAGCAGAGGAGGATGATGCAAATTATAATAAGAGCTGCTCCCGGATGAGCTCGAAGCAGAGAAACCGGTAAGCTATTCCTTCCCCTTCGCAGCCATTTCGTGCATGAAAATGAATTTTAACGGTGAAAGACTTTTAGAATAGATTGATAAAGTAACGTGAGGATGAGTGGATATTATGTTGAATTCTCTCGGAGTAATGTTTTGAGGCCTCAATATATGTCCACGGAATTCCTACTCGTGTACACGAACTTGTATTTCTATCTCCAGTGAACAACCGAGTGTCTGCATTCTATTGCCTTGGTGCTGGATGGTTAGACGATCCACCATTAAATTGTATTACAATTTTAATGAATTTATCATATTTTGAAGAATAACATCACACTTGAATCATACCAGACCTGCCTTGCAGTAACCTGATACAGGGTTGTTATGCTTTCTTTTCGGGTTTATCTTCGATCAGTTTCGAAAGGACGTAGTTGTCTGCGAGTAGTGGTTGAGTGCAGCGCACGTTACGTCTGGGAACAGTATTTTATGAGGTTTCAATTGTGTATATATGTGTTGTACGTCCAGCTTTCTGGGCCTTTTTTTTTTTTTTTTTGGGAAAGTCTTCCTTTACTTTGGGTCGTTTTTGTTGCTACAAAAAACCATCAATGCTTCCCAATTTTCCTATCTTAATAATTTGTAACGTACTCGGAATATTTCAGGTCATGGTGGTGCTTCGGCGAGGCACCCCGCGGGTTCCAGCTGACGATGTTGTTTCTTACGTGGGCGCTCCTGTTCCTGTTACTTTGTTTGGCACCTGCGGCAAATGCTGAGAGCAAAGTCCAGCTTAACATAGAGCAGCTAGGATCCTTTGGTGTCGAATCAGAAACTGCTACTCCTTCTGTAGGCGTTATTTCTGAAGTCGTTTGGAAAGGTAATGTTTTATGCAGCAATAGGCTTTACTATTGTTTCATCTTTTTTGTTTTTCGGAGGATGATAAAACTTAACAGTGCTCTCAGGTTTGATAATCCGCTGTGGGGTACTTTGATATCTAGTAAACTTGGCCAGGTTATTTTGTGCACAGTATTAGAATTCATAATTTAGAGCTTCAAGTTCATGCTCGTTTGTCCTTCGTATATGTTTTCTTCCAAGGAAACCTCATGGCTGCTACATCCCAGTTCTGCAGATTTGAATCAAGTTAACACAGCCTACCAAAGCTCCACTAGTGGAGCCTCCCTCAAGAGGCAGGGGGGCGGTGGGAGTGAACAAAAGTTGAACATCAAAGTCGAAGAGCAAACAAGACAGCAGAGCAGTTTTCACGCTTCTGTTGGGTTAGGTCAGTTGGGTCAAGATCTGCAACATCCTAGTGACGACAAGGTTGAGCTACAATTATGTGGAGCCCTTGTTCAAACTGGACAGCAAGTCACGTGTCACCCTCCTGGGTCACCTGAGGCCGAGAATAGGCTTTCAGATATTCGTGACTGCTCTATGTTTTCCTCGAAAGTTGCAAGTGCATCGCTGCATTATGGGGATATTGCCGTCACTCCTCAACTAGTCTGGATGCCCCAGCCCTTGTATCAGCGCCAGGTTGCTTCCTTGACTATTATTAACTCATGCAATAGCTCAAAATTATCACTTGTTGCTGTTAAGAGTGATAATAGACAATTCTTTGTCTGTGCCTTCTCTGAGAAATTTGTTGCCCCTGGAGGATCACTTACGTTCCCTGTGTGTTACTTACCTCAGTACTTGGGAGCAGCCACAGGAAGGGTAACTATAGAAACCAGGTCAGACCCAATAGTAGTGCAGTTACAAGGGGAAGGTATTGCATCTCCTTTTCAGATGCACGTCAGGGTGCATGAGAAGTCGCACTATGTACTTTCCCTCTTCAACCCTTTTAATGAAAGTATATTTGTGGAGGAAGTACTTGTTTCCTCAGAAGAGAACCAATGGCACACCACAGGCTTATTCGTAGGAAATACAGATGTGGATCGTGTCAGTGGTGTACCTTTAGATGAGATTGTAATTGAGGCAAAGGAACCCAGTCGTGGTGATGAGATAAATTATAAACCTGGGGTGTTGATGCGAGCTGGAGCGACATGGGAAATCCCCGCTCAGGAAAGTAGGGATATCGTAGAATTTATAGTAGATCTGAAGCGAGGGGAAGTGTTTCGGGGGGCATTCCAGATACGGGCCACTGGGGCACCTTTTGGGAGCGAGGGCGGTGTTCTAGTCTACCCGTTCAGCTCACGAGTCTCCAAGCCGTCTTCTGTGGTTTCAGTACCTGATACTGTAGACTTTGGAATGCTGGTTGGGGATCAGGCGCGGTCCCAGCCCTTGGTGCTGGAAAATTCTGGTGGCCAGTTAATACAGGTCAGAACATTATCTGCATATCATTCCTAGCGAGAAATCGAATGAATGTCTGGTAATAACGATGATTTAACATTTCATAAAATAATTGAATAAATTAGATTATATTTTGTAAATATGTATTTTTCATCTGATGCAGGTTAAAGAAATATATGAAGTGGCTAAAGATTCAAGAATTACAATTGAGTACAAGAAAGGGTGCGTTCTGCTCCCAGGCTCTGAGACCGAAGTTGCCAACATTACCTACAGGGGCTATAACCAGCCCCACGTATCCAACGCATGCAGTAGCTCTCAGAAGATCATGGTGCGCACCAACAGCACCATTGGTCATCTGATGGAGATTCCCTACAGAGTAGTGGTGTTGCCGTGTTTGGATCCTCCTGCCTTGGCCTTCGTGCCCAAATCTACAATGCGAGCATTAGGAGACCTGAGAGGCTCTTACACAGGCCAGGGCATCAGTGACTTGATTATGGACTACAGACTGTTCCTTGGGCTTCTCTTTTGTGGGCTCATGGTAGGCGCTTTAGTGTTTTTTCAAGCTGTTGTGCGTGAGACCGTGTTGCCGACGTCGTCAGGGGATCTGAGTAAGGGTGGTTCGCATCGGAGAAGTTCCAGCGGAGGCAGCCCTTTTATCAAGAGAAGGGATAAGCTGCTGAAGATGTGGGGATGGGGAGCTCTTGCCACTGTGACAGAAGGCCTCTGGGCAGCTTTTGGATCCGCCATTTGGAGGAAGGAATGCAGCGCATCCTCCTCCAATTACACTCTCCCGCGATCTGTGACGCCAGTGCCGGCGCCTACACAGACTGGAATACAAGCGACGAAGGCCATTGGAGGAGCTGCGACGTCTGCTTCAGGGTCAGTGCCCACAGCGGGTCGAAAATATAGCTCAGATAGAAAGAATAGCGGTGCTGCTAAACCCGACCAGACACGGAGTGGTAAAGGTAATGCGGAGTCATCGAATAGCTCCTCACCTCTGAGCTCTAAAGATCCGCATCATCACCCTCAATCCATCAAGCAACCGAAGACTTCGAAATTCTTGAGACCGGGAAACTCTTCGGCTAAGCATACCATCTGCATGGATGATCTGGAGGAGGACACCGAGTCTATCGTGAAAGAGGTAGTAGCAGTTGAAGCGATTGCATCTGTTAACGCGGTCGCACGCGCGCAAAGTGCATGTCCTACACGGCAGCCTCCCGTCAAGGAGTCGCCGAAGGACGAAGTGACCCTTAAGCCACAGCCTGTTTTGCTACCTGAGCAACCCCTACAGACAAACGAACGGGAGAAGCGCAGGCAGAGGAAGAAACAAGTGAAACATGATGTGGCTGCAAATTTTAGTACCTATGGAGGCGCGTCGCCAGGGTCTCCTGCCTCTCCGGTGACGCCTTCCAGACTGGCTTGGTCTGCCGGTCCTCCCTCTCCCTTCGACAGAAAACCAACTAAATCCACTTCGTCCCTGTCTGATCAGTCAACAGCTCCCTTGAGCCCCAAGAGTTCGGGATCTGTTGAACACGCAGACGCTGTCCCACTTCCCAAAATCAAGGTTAAGGTCCTTAATTCTTTGAAAACCACTAACCCTGCGCCTGTTGGGTCAGGAACCGAAAGCCCCAGGCGTAGCGTTAGTTCTACTCCGTCCCATCAGCAGCCCAGGCAGCAGGGAAGAGTAGCGGATTCGCGTAAGCAACCTGTGGTAGAGAAGAGTTCAGGTGTCGGTGGGAAAAAGGGCACCAGTGGCGAATGCGCTGCTGTAGCTCGCCAACCACGGAAAACGTCAACCTCTGGAAGCGACAAAGCACTGGAAGTTACTGATGGAGGCCACTCTCACCGAGGGAGCCGGTATCCTCAACGAAGAGGCAATGCGTTTGCAGTATCGGAAGTTGGACCTGCAGCTCTCACCTCCTCGGCTTCCTTTCCACCTCGGAGCTCGCGTCCGGGAATCTGGACCAACAACTCTGCTTTCGAGTTCGGCGTTGGAGTACGGATCGACTCCTTGGGTGTTGTACCCCCACCAGCCATTCCGCCGACTCTGCGAGCCCCTGGAGCAAGGATCACGAAACAAGTTAGTAATGCAGAGTCCACATCCTCTTCAGGTACATCTGTGGATGCAGGTTGGTCCAGCCTCGGATTCACCTCCAGCCCGGAGCTTCCTGACGGCCGTTTAGACCAAGACCTTCGTCCCGGCAGTCCCTGGCACTCGAGCAATGCCCTGTCTGGGCAAAGCTCTGGAGAGCTAGTATATGATATCTGGGGGAACCATTTTGGCAATCTCAGTCAATGCAGCTCCCACAACGATTCCTCTTTCCTTGGCGCAGGATTTAACAAGCAGAAGGCTAATCCCTTCAGTGGGTTTCACCGGCTGCTGGTCCCTGACCACCATGCTGAGATTCTCCTGCCAGGTTCCCTCACCGGTGGTCTTGCTTGCGACATGAGCCCCACCACGCGAGCCCCGTTCGCGCCCTTCTCTGGGTTTTTTTCGGAAGGTTCTACTCTGGGTCCCGAGGATCATAGCCGGCCTGTCTCCCCAGCTAGTGAGTTACCAGATCAGCTCTTCTCTGATTCACCGATAGCTGGATTCACCGAGGTGGTTCCCTCAACTATGGCGGTACCTGTAGCGAAACCCAGAGTGAGAGTCCCCTATTCTCCACCCATGGGTTGTGTTGCTGCTTCTTTTTCTAGCCCTCCTAGCACTCCAACCGTTGTGAGTCAGGCTGCGGTGTCCAAGGCCTCGAGCTGCTCCTTTTGGGCACATGACAGCAGCCAACTCCTGGAGAGTACGTTGTCACCGACCATCTCTCTGACGTAGATTTTTATTGACCTTTCAGCCCATGAACTTTTGGTGGCTGAGCCCGTAGTATTGCCTAGTAGGTGTTGGAAGAAGGCCGCCTAGCTGTGCCGTGGATTTGGTGGGGGGCGACCATCAACTATCCTCCCTCCCCCAAGAGGCTCTGCTAAATTGTTCATATACAGACCTAAAAACTTCTGTGTTGCTGTGCTAGTCTGTGACTTGGTGAAAAACATGAGAGAGAGAGAGAGCGAGAGAGAGCGGAAGAGAGTGAGAGAAGGACCTGTACCTGTTCCTACTCCGACTTGCTTCTTATTAAACATCCTTGCTGTTAAAACAGTCTGCCGAACTGGCATCGAGGCAATTTCCGTTTCCTACGTCGGCGGATTGTATGCCTCAGACTCTCCCTTTGCTTCCAAACTTTCCCACCTCTCATTCTCTCCATACCCTGTGCATGTTGCAGCTATTGTCCATTCTGGCTCTAACGCCGAACTCGTGAGCTTGTCTCATGTCGAGTGTTTCTTTTTGTGAGTTCCCTGTGTCTCTTTGGTGCCAGTGATGGATCTACCTGCTTGCCTCACTTTTGGCTGTGATTGGGTGTCTTGAGAATTTCGAATTTCTTGCAGCTGGCTTGCAGAAATTGAACTCTACGGAGCTAGCAGTGCACATCGATGATCACAATGAAACCTTCTTTCTATGAAATGTGCTTTTGACCAGTGTAAATCCAGGTCTTGGTAGCAGGATGGGTCAAACTCACCCAGCACTTTCATTGTCAAAGGTTAGTTTACAAACAGATCTCAAAACTAGGTGTGAAGTGGGCGTGAAGGATTCATTCCTGTCTTGCGTTGACTGAGAATGTCGATAGCCTTTATGCTTTCTTCGAAGAGATTCCAACTCAACTGTCAGGTTTTGCTTTGCAAACATTGAGTGAGTGATGATTCTCCCTACTCATTGTGTGTGTAAATGTATTTGTGTGGGTGAAAGAGAACGAGAGCGAGGGAACACCCCCAATGGTAAAACTTTGCAAGATCACAATGTGGTGCTGATTAAGCTGAAAAGAGATCAGGTTCTATCAAAGTTGAAGATCTGAGTCATGAGAGAGTATGGTTCAATGTTACATTTTTGGTATTTAAAATCAACTTTTACAAAATTGACCTTGTTGCATTTTGAGCGAAACTTTTTTTATTTTTTATTTTTTATTTTTTTAAACCAAAAGAAACTATCATATTCTGTGTGTGTGTGTGTCAACGTTTTAATCAATTTGTGGACCAATCTGAGTCAAAATGTTGCGATTGGTTTTGAATGCTTTGCAATAACTTTTCCTGTGCACTTGCAACAACATTAGAACTATTATTAGTGGATGACACTGTGTGAGTCCTCAAAGGAGTGTTGGAAGATGTGCTTGGTCTCCTCAGTTGAATACTCTCAAGTTCTTCTACACATGGCACCAAATTATAGACACGTTAAAACAAATATCAAAGTAATATAAAACCAGCTATCAGCAGTGAATTAATTTCACAACTGGCTAAGCCCACAAGCAAGTAGGATTGCCCACCACTTGACTCACTCAAGAGCTCTCTATTAAGAATGAATCTGACTATAAAACTATTTCAAGAGCTATTTTGAAACAGTTAATCTGTCGATTTGGTCATTCTGGGTGCCCCTTGAACTTAAGTTTATTGGACGTCCATAACTCAAGTTCTAAGTCTATGTATCTTTTTTCTTCATTTTGGGGGTGTAATATAATAATTTTCACGAATTTCAAAATTACATATATATATATATATATATATATACATATTTTTTCTTACATTCTATAAATTATGTTATTTGTGGTATCATTGGTTTTTGAAAAGACGTTACCTGGAAATGATGTACAAGATTTCCTTCCTTGAATTCTTTCAATTAGAGAGAGTTTGGAAGATGGAGTATTTTCAAGTTGTTCTTCATGATATAGATTTGTGGTTTGAAGAGCAGTTTTTGGTTGACATATGGCACTTGCAGGCCTATTAAAAGCATGTAAATTTACTTTTTATTTTTTTAAAAAAACTGTTGAGCTGAAATTATTACTATACCTAAAAACTATTCATCTTTTATCTCAAAAATGATTCATACTTTAAGGTTTTTGAGTTGGCACTCTAAGGTTCAACATGATGACATAATACATGTCTTACTATTAGAACTTTTAATTTGGGTCTCAAAGTTGAGTACAAACCTTTGTTGTGCATGAGATATAGACATGGCATTGTCTTTATGTTTTTTTGCTTTCTTAATTTCATTGCAAGCACAATCAAACATGAAAAGAAATTCACGCATGATTTTAAACAAATTGGTGTTTTGATCTCCTTTAACGGGCTCGCCAAAATACATTGCAACATCCTTGAGTTTATTCAATGATGATTTTGCCATGTTTTGTAATATGATGAAATCTTTGCTTGATGTTTGAGCAAATGGGACCATTGATTCAATAAATTTTAATTCATTTGAGTTTGCCAATGTATTGTTTGAATGAATATCTCGAATCTCTTGATTAAGAATCTCTAAGCCACGTTCAAGTTCTTTCAAATTTGAATTTAACCTATCCAAACTCAAATTAGCTGCTAATTTTACTTCTCTCAATTCTTCTGATAATTTCCCAACCTGCACAATTAAGATTTATAAATTTTAGTATATATATATACAGTATATGTTTTTGATATTTTAATTTGCATAAAATGATGACTAAAAAAAGTAATTTATTCCTTCATCATATAATTACTGTTTTGATTGTTATATCTTCCTTTCCAGTCTCAACAATTAGAGCATAAGTACTACAAATATAGCTTAGGAAGGATTTCGTTTTACTTTAAGCTTCAACAAACTATTAATTGTTGAGAATGGCAAGGAAGATATAAAAATTGAATCAGCATTAAATAAGTACAAATCTTGAATAAAAAAGGAGTCTTTGAATTCAGTACAAATAAAAATAACATTAATAAAACAATCTCATTTTCATTAAATACAAGTTATTAAGAATGTGTAATTTTATAAATAAACAAAAAGTGAACATATATATATATATATATATATCACATCACCTGTTCATCCATCTTTAAAAGCTCAGCTACTACAAAATGGAGCAATGTGGTGTTCTTGTGACATCCCTTTACATCCATTAGCTTCAACAATGCATCAAGCTTAAAACCACTTGCAGACCCACAAAATGACTCGCCATTCAAATGGTTTCCCGCAACTAAAACCATCTCCAAAATTTTAACAAGAGTTTGACTTGATTTTAGTTGATTGCAAGCCTTTTCAATTAATTCCAAATCATGTTGAGTCTACATCTCATACAAAATACATCATTTAATACACAATTACTTGTGTGTGTGTTTTTTCCATAGTCATTTAATAGTAATCATTTTATAGAATGTTATAAGTACAATTACTAACACCCATATGTTTCATAATATTTATTGTTTTGTTTGTTTGTTTGTTTGTTTGTTTGTTTGTTTGTTTTTTTTTTTTCATGCATGAAATCACACATTGAAATGAAATTCTGATGTTTACTTATTCATATTAATAACATTGGCAAGTGGTGGGGGTGGCATGTGGTAAATGGGAAGTTCTAGTGGGCATAGCAAAAAGAATATGGTGGCACTAGTGATACCTCATATATATATATATATATAATTTTTTTTGGTTTATATTACTTTTTTGTTACCTGTTCATAAGTTGCTTTATATTGTAATTTGAATGCTAAACATTTAATTCTATTTTTATATCTTGGAATCTTTAGTAAATCCAAGTAGTACCTGTAATTTATTTTATATCAATTAAAATGCAAGTGATTTTTATTTCAAATTTTATGATAAATTTATTATTATTATTTTAAATAATTTTTATTTTTAAATACAAAATATATATACTTTTATTTTTTATTTTTTTTGAATTTTTCCTAATTTCAGGTTTTAAGTGTCTTATAATGTTTACTTCATTTTTCTTACATAAATATGTATTGAACATGTAAAATTGGTAACATACTTTTCAATTTCAGCCAAAGGATCAACATCACCAACATAGTTTTGTAATAGTTTGACATCATCCTCATTTGGTAGAGTATTATGCATCACCATGAGAACCTCTGATGTAAGAATATCATGATCCATGTTTTGAAGTGCTTCCAATAGTTTTGGCAATGGAGTCCGCAAACTCCGCAATTGAATATTCACATTGTGTGCTCGTTTGAGATCCAAAATACTCACTACTTGCAGTTTTTTAATGTTTGTGTTTCTATCCTGAGCATTATATATATATATATATATATATACACACACACACACACACCCACTTTTAATGAATGATGGAACAAAAAGTGTTTCAATGGTATTTTATATTACATAATAGATGGTGTTATAATTCAAGAGTTGATACTAATTTACAAAATAGCTCATAAAATGTTTGTATCTAATTTGATATTTGTATCATATCAACATTTGCAAAATGAATATAAAATAAATTGATTTTATCTTATATTATATTATTTATATTTAGAATGAATAGTTATATTTAAATCTTACAATGAAAGTAGTTTTTTTTGGTACAACTTCTTTTAGAGCAAATAATGATTCGAGCTCTTGAAGGTCCATTTTTACATTGGTCAATGAGGTGTTTGACCAAACGGTTTTATTTGTTGATGTTGGTGTTATTTTATCCCACACAAGTTGTTTAAACTTTGGTTTTACAACAACATTGGTGTTGGAGTCTTGTTTGGGTTTTAATGAAAGAGGTGGAATAATTACATTTTTAATAACATCTAATTTTTGGGTAGAAGATTGTGGAACAATTTTCTTCTTTGATGGTGGCAAAGGAGGAGGTGGGGGAATACAAAATGGTTTAGAGCCATTAGTTGGTTGAGCTTGATGTTGAAAACTTGTTGAATGTTTTTCACTAGAATTTTCATCTTCATTTATTGGTGAATGACGAGGTATAGATAAAGATGGAAATGAAAGACTTGGTTGAAGATTAGAGGGAAGCACACAAGAATTCATACATGGAGTAGAATGATTTAAAAAGTTTTCATCATTTTTATTTTTATTATTTTTATTACTTTCATCACTTTTAGAATTAGGTGATGGTGTTACAATGTCTTGAATTGTCAACAAAAGAGGATTTCTTGTGCATAAAGGTTTTAAGTGTTGGAACAAAATGTGTTTTTTTAAATCATTTGAATATAGTAAAGTTAAAAAATATTCAATATTCTTGTTTATTTTCAAAATATTTGATGAAAGAAACTCCATAATGTCATTTTCTGATAACATTTTATCATTTTTTATTTCATTCTTGAATATAGCTTCCAAAAATATGTTTCTTGGAATGAGATTATTTTTGTGATCTTTCCTATAGTTCATGCATATAATTATTATATTTTTTAAATGATTCAAAAAACTTAGTATGTTTTGAATATTTTTTATGTTATGATGGCCATCATTGTAGGATTCTTTTTGATCACATGTCTTTTCTAGAATTTTAAATCCATAATCAATGTTTGATGAATTGGTGTTAGACTCTAACATTTTATCTGATAAAAATTTGAAGTTAATAATGTTTGTTTTTTCACCACGTTTCAGTAATGAATTATATTTTTTCAAATGAAATAAAGCATACTCTTTTAATAATTCATAAGAGTTATCAATATATTTGGGTATTTGCCCATTTTTTTTTGGCTTGTAAAAATGAGCATGATCTTGTTTGTTCAGATAAATCATTGAAATAAACACACAAAAATCTTCATATATGTTCTGAAAGTTGAGCAACCCGCTTCCATCATGGATATTATGGAAAAATATGCTAATATTAAAAAAATTGTTTGAAACAAAATTTGATTTATGGCACATTGGATTGATGGACAATGTGGATTTATCTTTGCATGGTGAATTCATTTTCAAGCATGCCTCAAAAACTTTATTCCTTTTGTTGAAAGTTTTAAAAGTTGCATGTGTTTTTTTTTCGCAAAAAAATATTTCATTTGTTTTTGGTGCACATTTATTGGGCGAGGAATTTTTTTTGCATTTGTATTGAAATTCTTTGTAAGTTTTGGATCTTGCATTGATTTGAGAAGTTAATGCATAATTGTTATTATCTTCAAAGAAGTCGAGATCAACCATTTTTTTATCAATGTTGTTGGACAAGTCAATATTATCATCAAGATTAAATCGATGTTTCCAATATTGAGGTATAAAACAATTGATGCGGACATCATTTTCACCATTGCTTTCATCACAAGGATTTGGCATATTTAAGTATATTTGATTTGTGACTATATCTTTAGAGTGAGAAGTGTAAAAAGAATTGCATGCATTTTGACTTTTATTTTTAAAAAATACATGGTTTGATGAAAATTCTTTTCTTGTAACATTATCATGATATTTGTTTTTTGATAATTTGACATCATAGGTGTGGTATATTTTATTGATTGAGCATGGAAATGTAGCTTTGAATGTAGGATTTTTGTTTTTACATTCCATACCATCTCCAATGTAATGGGAATCATTTTGGATTATTTTAGTTTTGTCTTTAATATTTATTAAAAAACTGCAATCAAGATTTATATTTACGTATGTAAACATTTGTATTTATGATAAAATTTGAAATAAAATTTCATATTTAAATTAAATCATAAAAAAAACTATATTAAAAAAAAACAATAACATTATTTTACTAATAAGAATTTTGAGATTTTTATATCATTTAAAATTATAATTCATTTATTTTTTAAAAAATATTTTATTATTATTATTTAATATATTATTCTTTAAAGATATTCACCTTCAAATGTGCAAAGGTGTGATTGACACCTTTGAGAATAGTTGTGGTTGCATTTGGTTCCTTCATAAGACTTGACTGTTTTAAGATCCTCATGATTTAAAGATACACCACTTTTATTTTGTTTCAGATCATTTAAGCTTAATTGTCTCTCACTTTGAAAGGTTTTAATAGTTTCAGCCTAAAGAACATTAAAACATCAATTTTTTGTTTGAAATTATTTTTATATATATATATATATATAAGCATATTCACACACATGTAAACACCCACAATTTTATTTTACTAAAATATAACCATAATTTTTGTTTTATTTAATATTAAGATTTTACTTTTATTTTTACATAGATACTTGAAATTTTATTATACGTACAGTACCACAAATAGATTTTGATGACAACAACTTCAAGAAAACTGTATTGGATGAGCTTTTTCCAATAATTCTGTGATAATTAAATAAATAATTCCATTCACCAACTAAGGTTGATGCTAATATGTTGGAAACTTCAACAAGCGTTGTATTTCTGAAAATCAAAAATAAAAAATTAAATATATATATATATATTCATATATAGAAACACACTCACAAAAGCACAAACAAACAAGTAAAATCCATGCATAAGTAGAACATTATAAACTTTCACAAATAATATTAATGTAACAGATATATTCGAAGACAAAATTATAAAAGGATGTAGAATATTGTAATAAAATTAAATGTTATAAACTGATCTTTCACTTATGCTAGTATTTACAATACTCTAATATTTACCCAGAATACTGTTTTACATCATAGGACTTTTTTAATAATAATGGTCCCAAAGTATCAATAATTCCTGGTGAACCCGTCGTTTTAACCTCATTTTTAGTAATAATACAAAAGAATAAGAAAATAATGTTCTTTAGAAGTGCATAATTTGATGGAGGAAGGCGGTTCAACAATAAGCGTAACACGTAAGCTCTTGCTCGCAATTTTGAAATTGCTGAAAACATGAACAAATTTGATATTTGTATCTAAGGAAATAAAAATAATTAAATGAAACCCTAATATTTTTACTAGTATTAATACCTATACATTAATAACTTTGAAATATTTAGCATGTAGTGTAACAATAAAAATTTATTCATCAATTTGATGCTTAAATGATACTTAAGGTGATACTTAACTTGTACTTGCAACAAAAACACTGTGAAGTTGGTCAGTGAAAAGATAGCCATTGAGCTTTTTAAGATAAAATAACATTAATGCCGCCACAATGTGAGGATTCAAGTGCTTCATTTTGATGTTCTTTGTCTCTGAAACCCATAATTAGTATATTTAATTTAATTTAATTCGAACACACATACACACACACACATACACACACACACACACACATATATATATATATATATATATATATCTTGAATACTAACATTAATGGTATGAAAATTTTTATTATAAATTTGTAACATAAATGAAAAAACTTTAAATTGTGACATCCTTACCAAGAGGATCACATGAATCGAAACATTTTTTGACTTCAAGAACATCTTCCAAAGGTATGGGTATTGAAAACAAACCTTCAACTTCAATTGCTGCAAAAAGAAACAACATCACATGATAACATTTTGAATGACAAGTCAATTTCAAAACTATATGGTGATATGTATATTTATATATATATGTATATGTACACATACAATTGAAAGCAAATATGGAATGTCTAAGAAGTTTAAATATAATAAGTATGTGCTCATGGATTATACAATTTCCAAAACAAAATTGGTACGTGATTTTTATTTTTATTTTTATTTTTTCCACTTTATTGAGTTTTAGGGTTTATGTGGAATAATGTTTTAGTCTTACAAGTTGCAATCAAATAGCTTGTGACTCTTTGTAATTCAATAAAATTCATAACTGTTGTTAAAGTATTTGTTAAACATGAATCATCGTCATAATCAAACATATTTGGGTTTGCGTTTGATCTTGATGTTTTCTTGTTTTGAAAGCCAATCTCTGTTCTTACATGTAATCATATAAAATCACAAACAATCTACATTTTCAAGTGTAACCGTTGATTTTATGAAAAAACAAAAACAAACAAGAAAAAAAAAAGTATTACAAAAACCTAATATGGGTCAAGATTTACGTTGTTGTTTATTTTCGATTTATTGCTATAGTTATTTATTTATTCATTTGTCAAATAATGACAAAAATTTGAAAATTTAGGTCGTAGACTTATTTAAACTTGGAGTTTAAGAAAAATCATATCCATTAAGATTAATTAAGGATGCAAGCATGGCATACGTTGAAGTAGTCCACAAGGTCATCACTTTAAGTAACTGAGATCCCTTAAATATTAAATTTTACCATTTTTGTGACACACTATATTATTTTTGAAATGAAAATTTTAAATTCATCAAGATGATATTATATTATACTTATATTTTTGAGGTGTGATTTTTTAAAATGTAAAATAAAAAATACATTTTTTGTTCAAGAATCTATTCTAGTTACTAAAATTATTACGTACAAAAGTATTAAAAAAACTCAATATAATAGTGATAAATTATTGAGAGTTTTCTTAAAGAATACACTCAAAGTCAAGTTCAACCATATGCTCATCCATATTCTCATCCATTCACACATTCATCCACGGAGGCATTTCGGATGAACAAACGGATGGCGAGCGCCAAAACCAGTTGGTCCAAAGGACTGAGCGGATGAGACCCCGTAACCAACCAATCCGAAGCCCGAAATGGATTCCATACGGTCGTAGCCGAACCTACCGGAACGAAAGCCGAGCCACAGCCTCTGCTTACGGCCACTCCGCCACAAGTCCAAATCAAACCTGGAGTCCACGTGGACCGGGGGCTCCCATGACCAAGGGGAGCGTAGCACCGTAGGCGCGTGGGCCTTCCGCCGTGTGTGTGGACGTCGAAGCTTGGCACACAGCCCAGCTATGGCAGACACGGCAGTTGCTCACTCTCTCTCGCAAGCGAGCGAGCGAGCGAGCTCTGCTTGCTGTCTTCACAGCTTAGCGAGCAAGAGAGCGAGGGAGAGAGAGAGACGCATCCATTCTTACGGGCAATGGTGCAAGTGTAGCCTGCTGCAGAGATGGCAATGGCGTGCAGAAGTAGCAGAAGCCCGAGCTGGTACGAGTTCTCGGACGTGGCTGTGGCGCGAGTGCCGCAGCTGACGAGCCGGGGGAGGATTACAGGGCAGAAATTGGTCGGGCAATGGCCTCGAGGATTGGGATTAGGATTGAGAGTAGTAGGACGGGGGTTGAGTGTGCGGAGAGGGACGAGCAGGCGGGCGATTGTTCGGGTTCGTGCGAGCTTCGAGCTCGCGGAGCATTTGCATGGGCTGGTGGTAGGTGTGGGAGTGGGATTGCCGTGCACGGTGATGGAATGCGGGGACGTAGTGTATCGGAGCACGTTGCCACGGCAGGGATTTCAGATTACCACGCCCGGCGTGGCGCTGACGGTGCTTATTGTTACGTATCTTTGGGCGACTCCAGGTTAGTCGGTGGTCGAATCGGGAGTTTTTGTTTTTTGAGAGGAGTAGTGTTGTTTGGTTGGATTGCGTCGATGTCGGATTTTGGGATTGATGTGAGATAGTTGCTTGATTAGCAGTTGGCATGAGAATTCGGACGCTATTGAGGTTGACTGTATTCTTGTAGCCTCGACACACTTTCGATACTGGCTCTCACTTGCATTCACAGTTGTTTGAATTGAAATTGCGAGACGTCGATTTGAAGCAAAGTCGAATTCAGTCACAGTGTGTATTGCGGAGACACCGAAAAGCTGTGCACATAGGATGTGATGGTTTTACACGTTTCTGAAGATGCTGTGCCGATTTTACTCTACAATGGTATTATTGAGGCCACGAGAAGATTGACGAATGCTTAATGCTATCTAGGCGTATTCAAGCACACGATAGGCTGTTTTCCTTGTGGAAAGACCTTTTTCAAAACTGGTGAACATTTTTTTAAACTGTTCCAGTCTGCATTCAGCATAGCATGTGGACATGGAACTAGGAACGGAGCTGTGTCTTACAGGGGGATGATTGCATCGAAGTGTACATAAATGGTGTTATCTTGGACGTGATTCGTATGGATGGAACTTATAAGAATGGTTGAGATTTAGTATTCATCAGCGCCGAGTTCTATACAATGTTGCATAATGATGAGATTTCCTGTTTTCATGCTCCTTAGTTAAAGTGGTGGTTATGATCGTTTTTTATTGTGACCAGGAGTGGCGCCGGGGTTCTGGGACATGTTTGTGCTTGCCCCTTTGGAAAATCTATTTCGCCCTGTGTTTAAGAAAGAGGATTTAAGTCTTGGGAAAAAACTAGGCGAAGGTGCTTTTGGAACTGTCTTCAAGGCATCCCTCTCCAACAAGCAGCTGTTGAAAAAAGATGGCCCATTGGTAGTGAAGAGGGCTAATGAATACGGCGCCGTGGAGGCTTGGATGAATGAGCGTGTGAGACGCGCTTGCCGGAAGAGTTGTGCAGATTTTGTTCATGGTTTTCTTCACGAGACTTCTAGTAAGGGGAAAGAGGAATTTTGGTTATTGTGGAGGTATGAAGGAAACGCAACTTTAGCTGACCTGATGGCCAACAGGGATTTCCCTTACAACGTAGAAGAACTGATACTCGGACCACGGAAAGGGGAAGATTTGCCCCGTGGTCCTGAACGTCAGAACAGAATAGTGCGGTCCATTATGCGACAGATTTTGAGCGCTCTGGCTCAATTGCATGCAACTGGGATTGTACATCGTGATATCAAACCTCAAAATATTATATTTTCGGAAGGTAATTAGATCTAATTCCACTACTTATCCTCCTTCATCGTCAACATTTTTTTAATCTTCGCTTTCAATTTCCATGCAGCATTTCCACTGTACATGTAACATGCTGGTAGGTGTCGACTATGGTCGGGAACCAATAACTTCGTCAAGCATGTCGAGAACATTACAGTGGAAGCTCACTCAAACTATTAGTACTGTTGCATGCTAGTTTTTATCACTTTGGGCAATCTTATCTCCTGTGGTTTTTGTCGAGGTTTTTCTCCTGCATGCACAGGCGTTCATAATGAATTTCCTAGACATTGTTTTGTATCTTTATTGTCGTTATCATTGTCGTCGTAGTTCCGTCATCTTTCACGCTCTTGGTTTGTAACGAAAGTCTGTCTTGGCAGAGACGAAGTCTTTCAAAATTATAGATCTAGGAGCCGCAGCGGACTTAAGAGTAGGGATCAATTATATTCCGAAGGAGTTTTTACTGGATCCCAGGTACTCGGCGCCAGAGCAGTACATCATGAGTACTCAAACTCCCTCAGCCCCTCCCGCTATAATTGCAGCCGCTCTTTCTCCAGTGCTTTGGCAAATGAATCTTCCCGACAGGTTTGACATCTACAGCGCGGGTCTCATTTACTTGCAAATGGCATTTCCGAATCTTCGCACTGACAGCGGGCTCATTTCTTTCAACCGACAGTTCAAACGCAGAGATTACGACTTGGTGAAATGGCGGAGTTTAGTAGAGGGCAAGCCAAACCAGGACATTATGCAGGGGTTTGAGATCCTAGATCTGGATGATGGTGTGGGATGGGAGCTCGTTCAAGACATGTTACGGTTTAAAGGCCGCAAGCGTATTAGTGCAAACGCCGCACTTGCACATCCTTACTTTGAGAGAGCCGGATTCCTTGGACTTTCCGTCATGCAAAGGCTAAGGCTGAATCTATTGCGAGGTTCTCAACAGGACAATCAAGGTGTTTATTGGGTGACTTCACTCATGGCGAAATCTGGAACCGACAGTGTGGGAGGGTTCACAGAAGCCCAGTTACAAAACATACGGGTATGCTGTGTTCCCTATTCATAGAATCTTCTGCTCTATTTATTTTGTCACTAGTTTTGGTCGGTGCATATTTTAAATCTTTGCCATGTTAAAAAATCACAGAAAATATTAGAAGCACGCACATGATGCAGATATTATATCTAATCCAAGTCATTGTTTTGAACAGGAAAAGGAGCCAGTTACGAAGGGTTCAGTCCGACGCAATGCTATGGCGCAAGCATTGAGGTTGCAGCGAAAAGCTGCTCGGACAATTGCAGCAACTGTGGATGAAATCCAGAAGGGTGACGTTGTTAAACGAGTTAACTGGTGGAACCGTTGGCAAAATTAGGAATACCAGTTGATTGGGTCTGCTGGTCATGAGCTGAATGCAATCTCAGCGTGCATCTTCCGAGGTCTCCTAGCGTTCTGTATGCCTTGTAACACTGAATGCAGCTTTGTGAATGTCACCTGACGGTCTGGACACTTAACGTCGGGGGTCACTGGTGCAGCTACATAGTTAAGAAATATGTAGTTCTAGATATCAGGTCTATAGATTTGAGTTGTGTGCAAGATCTTCCTGATATCTTTGATGATGAAAATGATAAATGTAGAAATGTAAACTACCATTTGTATATGAATTTTGTAACCGACTGTGGGATGTTCAGTTTGCGAGTGCACGAAAGATCTCTATCTTGCTTCTGTGCTCTTCGACTCGAGGGCTTCCTTACAGTCTGTGATTTCACAGCAACTTGCATAGAAAACATGCTATACGATTGATTTTCGGTGTCATGTTCGAATTTGACACGTAAAAATTTCATTGTGACGAGTAATCTCCCCGTTGATATCGCTCTGAGCATTTCGATTTTAATTGATTTGTGCTTGTCATATCTAGTGAAATTTTGCTCACACTGAGGTCACTTCAACGGATTTCTTACCACACTACTGTATCCCTCATGTTGCTATAAATATGTTTTACTGTTCAACCTTAAAAGATTACCTCAGGAATAGGGCCATGTCCATCCAACTAGGCCTCTACTCGTCAATTCGAAGTATTTCCTTTTGTCATTAATCTGTTCCAAATGTCCTATACTTGTTGATAAATTCTTGTTCTAAGGTTGAAAGATTTGCATTGTGTGCAAAATTTAGTGGGTTACAAGATTCAAATATTACACAGAATAAGCCATTTTTCGTGTGTATATATATACATATATATATATATATATATATATAAAAATATTTGTGAAGTTATAAAGTCGTTAATCTGGTTGCAAATTTAATTCAGTCGGAATGGGTCACATGCAAATCAATCATAATAATGATGTGCTTACTATGATTGATAATCATAATTAGAATAATATAGTTTTTTTTTGGTTTGTCCACTATATATTACAATATGCTAAATAATATCTGTGTAAAAATTAGACATTTATTTATTTTCAATTTTTTTGGTGTAGTTCTCTTAATAACATGTTTTCAGCATGAAAAGAGATGAAAGAATGCTTTCATTTTTATTTTTATTTTTTTGTTGAGTATGTAAACGACTATGAAAATTAGGCAATTCCGTATTTCAAATTGTTATGTATATAAAGATTAAAGAAACTTACGTTTTGGTCCGATTGTTTAGGTTTTTGATAATACAATATAATGTAAACATATGACTTATTTTACAAATTTAAAATGCTTTGTATTGACTTCATGTTATAAGTACTTAGGCAAAGATCACTTTACAATAGCTAGTGCTTTAAAGCTTCAATAACTAATATGTGATTTGATAGACATATCAACTTCTTTTGAGAACACATATTTTCTTTGAGTGAAGATCCCAACGTACAAGTTGGATCACATTTGAATTTTGGAGCTAATTTTATTTTGAATGATGAATGTTTTGTTCAGACATAAAGCATTCTATTGGTTTGGAAAGATAAACTTGCTTGAATGAAAGTCACAAATAATCATCAAAATGAACAAAAACTAAGTAAAGAATGGTATAAAATAGATGAATCTTACATTACATTTGTTCATATATCTTCAAATGCATTTTGAAGGAATGGTTTGAGCACTTTCTGAAAATTAAAACAATACTAGTGCAATTTTCTTGGGCTATTATGTTTAAATGTAAAATCCTCTATATTTAAAGTAGAGAGGCAATGTCTTGTACTATTGTTGGTTTATAAGATGTTTTCCTTTTGGAAGAAAAAAGAAGGTGTTGTGTTAAAAGGAAAACATATATATATATATATATATATATAACATTTTGGTGCTCATGTGAGAAAACAAAAGGAAAACATCTTATAAACCATTTTGGTTTGTAAGATGTTTCTTTTTTTGGCGCACTCTCTCTCTCTCTCTCTCTCTCTCTCTCTCTATATATATATATATAACATTATTAAAAAAATTCTTCAAAATTTAATGGATGTTTCAATCTCACTTATATTGCCTTGGTGCTCATGTGAGTAAAAGAAGAAAATAGTAGGAGGCACTTAATAGTGGTGTGGAGAGAGAATATACTCATCACATTGGATGATACAACAATTCATATTAAAACATTCTTCTATAGCAATCATATATTCTATCTAAAATTATTTCTTCCAAACATAATGAGAATTTGAATAGTTGCATAAAGAATGAACTTTTGAATAGATGTATTGTCTTTTAGATGAAATGACCACACATATATATCATTGTCTTTAATATAATGTATATATATACTTTAAAATTTTAGTTTCATTACCTTTTCAAATGCAATGTTTAAAATTAAGATCCACAACAAAAGTAAAAATTAAAAATTAAAAATGCATATTAAAAATCTCAAATACAAAAGATTGTCCATCAACTACCAACTTTCAAAAAACAAACAAAGCTAGGCAATGATGTTATCAAACAATAATTTTAGATCACAACCAACTGCCATTCATTTGAGAAAGTAAAAAAGTAAAAAAAAAAAAAAAAAAAAAAAAAACTTTTTATCTTTCACAAATATTGCATACCATAACATGTTTCTTTTTGGAGCAAGAAGACTCAAAGAATTATCCTATCCTATCCATAAATTTTAAATATTATTATTAATATTGTTATTATTTTCTAAAAATAATCTTTAAAATAAAATATTCATTATTTTCATAAAGACACATTTCATATAATATTATGTATATATATATATATATATATATGTATGTATAACTCATAAGGATCATTCTAATTTCTACATTTTATTTTTAATTTAAAGTGTTTTGAAAATCCTCCCTAATTAGAAATCCATTCCCAAAAGGACAGAACCACCACAAAAACGCAGTCCACGTAAGCAAGGGCCCACACACGTGGCAGGATTTTCACAACCTCTGGGGGGAGCAATCTTCGGGCCCCACCACTCCCCCGAGATTCAGATTCTCGTGGGACCTGTCTTCGTTCGTTCGTTCATTAGTTGGTTCGTTCGTTCGTTCGTTCGTTCGTTGGTTCGTTCGTGCCCTCCACTTCCCCTGCTTCTTACTCCGCCCTGCGCTTCGCTTTGGAAGCCCCCCAATCCCTTCACGGGACGATCGCCGGCTGCGTTTCTTGTTTGCGATAGCTTCAGTAGGCAGAATTTTCGTGCAGAAATTCTTTTGGGTTTTTTTTTGGGTTTTGTTGGGTTTTGTCGGAATTGGCGATTTGGAGTGTAAGAGAACGGGGTTTGGAACAGAGAGGCTTATGTCGACGCAAAGTGCAGGCGGGTTGAGGATTGAGCGGATGTGGTTGTGGGAGGGCATTGGGAGAGATTTCTGGGATATTGAGGGTCTCTTGAATGTCTTTGGAAGGAGAATGGTGAAGAAATTCGGGTAGTGGAGACAGTTTGGTTGAGTGGAGGTTTAGTGGTGTGGCTTCTGGTTTTGGAGGTAGAAGGAAGGGGCAATTTAGGGTTGCGAGAGATGGCGGAGGCGGAGCTGGTGTCGTTTTTTGAGAAGGCGTGTAAGGCTGCAGACAGGGCGGTGAGCAATGGAGCCATTTTGCCTGCTGAGGAAGTGCGGTGCCAGGAGACCCTGAAGGCCATGGGCGCCGTGGAAGTGAGCACGGCGCTTCTGCTGTCGACGCAGGTGCGTGGGGCTCTTCTTTTTGGGACTTTCCGATTTTGGTAGTTGAGGAGGTTGCTGGCGTTGGTTATTTGGTCCCTTGCTCTTGCATGGAATGTGAACTATGTGGAGCAATTGGACGCGTGGTCAAGGAAAACAGTAGGACCGTGAGGGCTAGTGGCGGAGAAAATTCAGGCTTGTTTTTGTGAGGAGAACATTGTATTTTATTTTTCTCTTGCGTGGAGTAGTCGTGTTTTCCTAAACGCCCATATTTTAGTTAACTTTTGAGCTGGCTCCAGCCTCTAGAGAATATGGAATAGGTTCTTCGACTCCACTCTGGAGCACTAAGAGATTTCGGGTTTCCTCTTCAGGGTCATGTCTTTAAAACGCAGACTGGCTGCGCAGTGGACTCAAGTTCTGTTGTTTGTCATTCGGGACGTTTATCGTTCTTCCGAGGTTGTTAGAATGCCATGTAGTTTTTAGTATTGTTAACTACAAGAATGGGGCTTTTTTTTTTCTTTTTTTTTTTTTTTTTTTGTGTGTGTGTGTGTGTTCTAATGATGCAAAGTCTTTGTTAGTGTTTCAACCTATCACCTTTAGATGATACACCTTTCTTAGACCTTTCAAGCCGAGGGGACAGCTATGGAATTGCATGTAACAATGATCTTGACATCATGCGATTGGTTCTTCTTAATGTGGTAAACGTTATGAACGTATCAAATGCTTGTGTCAGAGTAAAATTTCCTCAGAATCCTATGTAAGACGGACTTGGCAGCGTCTAAAAGATGTATTGATGGTGGCGTAGGTTGGCAAGCGGCTGCGCAAGCTAACAAAACATCAATCCTCGAAAATATCTGCTTCAGCGCAGCAGCTTCTGGAGGAATGGAAGAAGGTGGTTGCAGACGAAGCCGCAAGCAGGAGCGGGACCCCTAAGGATGCCTCTCCCGTAATCAAACCCGAAACTCCAGCCAGAACATCGCTGTCAACGACAGTAAAGAAGGAAGTGAAACTAGAAGCGAAAACAGAAATGAAAGTATGTACGTCGAAGAGCTCCAGAGTGGGGTCTAAGAGCACTGTTCCATCTCCGAAAGTGGAATCGAAGAGTGTCTCCCCATCTCCGAGGGTAGAAACAAAGAACGCCCGTCCTGCACCTCAATCTCACCCCGCCAGTAAAAGTGCTTCTCCGTCGGCATCCCAGTCTTATCTCGCGGGGAAGTCTACAACTGCCTCCTCAGCAGCACCATCAAGCTCAGCGAATGGTTCGGCCTCTGGACTTGAATCGAAAATTGGACACCTTCCAAAGTCTGGGGACCCTAATCGGGACAGGTTTCGGGAACTCCTCTTGGATGCCTTTAAAAAGTGTTGCAGTGAGCTTACCGACGAACACTCAAAAATAGTGAAGAGCACGGACTTCGTGAAGGTGACATTAGCTGTGGAGACTGTGTTATTTTCCAAGCTGGGGCTTTTCAATGGAAAGGAGAAGGCGAAATACAGGTATAAGATAAGCTTATCTCTTTGAAAGACGTCCAAAACTAGCTTTTCAGGAATCTGTACATGCAGACAAGTGTTTTTGTCCTATATCGAGAAAATTCTCTTGTTATGTAATGGCGATGCTTATTTAATTCGAGTACCCTCGTGTGCAGGTCCATCTTGTTCAATCTCAAAGATCAAAACAATCCAGACTTTAGACGCCGTGTTCTGATGGGCGAAATCAAATCGGAAGAAATTGTCAACATGACTGCGGATGACATGGCCAGTGATGCAAGGAAGAAGGAGAATGAGGTCATTAGGGAAAAGGCCCTGTTCGAATGTGAGCGAGGCATGCAGAACGTGGCATCCACTGATCAGTTCAGGTGTGGCAAGTGCGGACAACGTAAGACGACGTACTTCCAACTGCAAACTCGGAGTGCTGATGAGCCCATGACTACATTTGTAACGTGTGTTAATTGCAACGCTCGCTGGAAGTTCTGTTGATAATTGGAGGCTCCTTCTCCATTGTATGAAGTCAGTAGGTTCAGTTGCTTCCTTATTTGTTACAGGAAGAAAAAAGGGGGAAGTTTGCGAATAAGTAGTAGTCACGAGAGAGCAATTTGTGCAGGGTTTATACTAGGGGATAGATAACTGTGAGCAAAGTGCATGGTGAATCGGCGCTTGGATAGCGATTTTTAGGTCCTAGTGTTGTGGGAAATCCAACACCCAACTCATGCCATGTATAACTAGAATTAATGAAACCAACAAGATGATTTTCTGCCAGTGCTTTAGGATCTGCCCTGTTGGCATTTTGGCAGATATGATACGCCTTTTCTTTTTCTTTTCTTTTAATCTTTTGTTGTTCATTTCTGTACAAATAGTAGGGGCCCTTCTGACCACTTTTAAACTAATACCCAATGCTGTCATTGATTCTCTCAAATGTCTACTTGAACGAATCAAACTCAACGTTATAACAAATGAGGTGAAGAGCCCAAAAGTTTGTGACAGCATCTTGGTTTTGATTTCTGTTCGCATGTCCAGCCAAGTTTGTAATCTTCATCAAAGGACCAAATTATGTTAAAGAGTCTTGAAAGGTATTTTATATCTCCATTACATTTTAGTTTAAACATTACTTGTATGAATATTGTTGTTGTTGTTGTTATTTATTTATTTTTAATACATGAGGGGTTGAATTGTACTCTTTGGCAATATAAACAAATTGTAACATTAAAATCATGCAGGATATGGATATTTTAACTTCAATCAAACGTTTCTGCGCATGAGCCAGTCGGAAGCTGGTGGGACAACACAGCACGTACACAACTGTGAAAACAAGAGCTCTCGAAGGAGGGGAAGAAACCGCGAGTGGCTCGCAACAGCAATCACCGTCTCCACCCCTTCAAGAACTTTATTGTTCTCTTTCTTTACAAAATATAACAACAAAACATCACATTAACTCCTCGCCACTGGAGTTCCCGCACGTTCGCAATCCGCTAGTCGTTGTTGCATCTCTTCTCTGCAGTAGCAAGATTCAGATCAACAACAGCAATAAAATGAATAAATGATAAATAAATAAAACATGCTCTACCTTAGACCCAAATCCTAACTCCGGGCCGCAGTCCTTCTGAGACTCGGCTCCTGAACAAAAAGAATTCTGAACTGGGACACCGCTCAGCTTCTGTACGCGATCTATCTAAGTGATCTAGCTTCTCTTAGTCAGATTCAGACATCTAAACTCCATCCGAGAATGGAAGTCTGATGCACCGAGATTGACAATTCACAAATTCAAAAAATTCGGCTGCCTGTTGTTTTGAATCAACGGTACATTATCTTCATGCAAACTATGAAACTTATGTAGAAAAGAAGCAAAGAAAATCAACCTGCTTGCCATCTAATGAAGAGTGATATCCATTGTCTGCGAGTTTGATGTCATGTAATTGTCAGTGGATTAATCGGTGGGCTCGCATCTCTGGAACTACGATTCGCCCGCCCCCGAGCTCATCTTCTGCGGCATATCCAACAAAACCAGCCGCTCAAGAATAAGTTGAACAACAACAACAACAAGCAAAAGACTTTTACGACGTGAGTTTGGTCCCCCACTTCACACAAGTCTGCGTTTTTTGCAACACTCTCTCCGGAGACTCCAGTGCGCAATAAAATGGTCAGAAACCTTGAATAAAAATATTGCAAAAACTGGTTTCAAAATCATCGTTGCTGCACAGCAGGCCTGCTAGTATTAGGCAGTCACCAAAAATTAACAAACAATTTAGAGTTTTGCAGATTACGCTACAATAACTTGTCCTTGACTTACAATTTATCATGTTTGTAAAACCAGGAATTGGCAAGCTTCACAATGTTCGACAAACGTGAGGGTGCCAGTTTATGGGTCTCCCAGAAAGGGAGTGAAAATGAGAGCTTGCTTTGCTTTGCTTTAATTGGGATTATTTGGCTTTTCAGTGGAATGATAATTTTCCTTGATCATTTCTAGGCTGCATAATATTAATTAGTATTAAAGTATTTCCAGTCAAGTTTAATATACTCGAGTTGTGCAGAAGATCACCGATGTGTGCAAAACCCACCAATTTATTGCGAGTTTTGCAGATTGAGTAAAGGGACCGAGGTGAGCGGTTCTAATTTATTAAATGTTTTGATTTGTCGAAATCAAGATTTTTTAAGGGAGATGCTTTGTGGACACTCCACATTGATTCAATGAAAAAATAAATAAATAAAAAATAAAAAATCCTCATTTGAAATTGTGTTTGAAGACTCTTGTACTATGATTGTTACTTGAATTTTATTATGAACAAAATCAAATTTGTGGACACCCATAAATGTATAATAGAATGAAAGTTCTAAATCAAAAATAAAATAAAATAAAATAAAAACACATTGTTTGTATAAAACGTAGTTGATTTTGTTTACAATAAAATTTAAGTAACTAAAATGATAAAAGTGTTTAGATAGAGTTTCAAACGATCATTTATTTTATTTTTTCACTAAATTAATGTGTCAAATGGAGGTGTCGACCTAACAATTCCCTATTTAAATCCTTTATAGATTGTGCTTGTTTGAAGTTGCACCTATGTTTATTTCATAGTTTTTATTTAGTTAAATAATAATTTTAAATTAAAATTTTTGAAGAACTTTGGGTTCTAAGATTAAAATTTATTTTTTTAAATAACAAAAATTAAAAAAAAAAAAAAAAAAAAAAAGATGATTAAGGTGTATGTAATGAAATGAAATATATTTTACAATGTACAAAAAATATTAGCTAGCGAGAAATGGTGCAAGGAGTTTTGTAATTTGAAGTAAAATTTGTTATTTTAATAAAGAATATTACATAACTAAAGACAGTTGTAAATTTAGGTTCTTTTTAATGTTTTTTAAAAACAAAATAGTTGCACCTGCTAACTTGGTGTTATTCAAAGAAACTCTTCTTAATCACAATGACATTCTTAAAAAAATCACAACCACAAAGCAGACTAATTTAAACATTTTGTACAAAACTTTGTTTTATATTGGTAAAGAGATAAATTAAAATATGGTTGTAATTAAACTTTCTAATAGAATTTCTTTGATAAAATTAATAACTTAATTATTACAAAAATAACATTAATATTTAATTATAATAATTATATATATAAGAATTATTTTATATTTATTTTAGAAATATAAAATATTAATAAAATATATCCTAATATCTTTAATAAGCTTCTAAAATAATTCTTTATAAACTTAATATTTTCTAAAATCAAAGAAAATTATAGAATTTTCTAGATTAGGTTCTTCAAATTTCTTTCAATTGATATTATATTAGTCCATTTTTAAACTTTTAAGAAGATGTCTCTTAATATAGTATTATAAAATAAAATTAGAAGATTGTATAATAGAATATATTTTATTATAAGAAGTTTTATTTTATATTAAATTAAAATAAAATTAATATTAAATCATAGGTAAGAAAAACATTCTTTCCAATTAAACCTCATGCTTATATACTCATAATTTTTTTAAAATCATTCAATTATTTTAATAGATGAATAATTTTTTTTAAAAAAATTTATGAGGTAAAATATTTATTTTTCTAAAGACAACTATATGTTTTTCTTATTTTAAAAGTAAAATATAAGCATAACATTATTGCATTTTCTAAAGTCATTTTTTATAAAAAAATTAAGATATTCTATAATTGTAGTTTTTTTTTGAAGTTTTTCATTGCCAAAGTCTATTTTATCTTGAACATAAAATAAAGTTAGATACAACAAGAAAGAATAAAAATAAAGAAGATAAAAAGAAAGAAGAAAGAAATATGTCTAATACAAAAAAATACAAAAAATAAAAATAAAAACCTCCAATTGTAGGTAAAAAGTGTTTTTTAAGTCTTACCATAGATTCCATTCAACTCTTATCATAAACAACTAAGCCTTCTCAATTAACAATCTTTGTCTTTGGATATGTTGTTTTAATAGAAGAAATTTAAAAAAAAAAAAAAAAAAAAAAAAAAATTGTATTTCTTCACATAAAAAAGACAGTTACAAGCAACCTTAGTTAATTCACCTTCTTTTGTCTCTATAATTTTGCTTCAATGACTTTCTATTTGTTATTGTACTTCAGAAGGAATATTATATTTTTTTTTAGTAATTACAAGAATCAATATTAATCTGTCTACATGACTAAATTAGCACTCATATTTGTAATTTTGATATTGGCTCTTATAATACCTAATATTTTTATATTAAAAAAATATTAACCATTCTTAGAAAGTAGGGTAAAAATCACTTCTTGCAATTAATTGATATATTCTATTGATATATTTTTAATAGTATCCATATTTGTTAGATTAATCTTTGTACAAAAAAATAATAATAATAATATCTTTTTTTGCAATTTTTTTCTCTTTGAATGAAATCAAGAAGTTCATTCTAATAAATGTATGTAATCTACAAAATATTCCTTCTTTTTAATATCTTCTCAATCCTTTGTAAATTGATATTATTTTTGTTAGATCCTTTGTTTGATTCCTAGAAAATATCTTTAAGCATAAAAAGTGTAGAAAGTAGAACCAATATTTAATCATCCATGTCAAAAAACAATAAACAATATAGCATGAAAAATACTTCTATGCATGATCTTTGTGGCATTGCCTTGTAAAGACCATATTGACTAAAAGCTTACGAATTTAATATAAATATGTAACAATTAAATTAAATTGACAACAAAGATATAACACTAACATAATGAACATAGTTATAAAGCCATCATTATATATCTTTAGATATTTAGTATACACAAAGATATCAAATTGGTAGACCTTGCATCACATGCAGGTAATTAGATGGATTGTAGTCTATTCAAAGAAAGTGACTATATCAAACAAAAAACATGTCATGCGCTCATTATCAATGCTTATTAATATCAAATTTGCATGTCACAATCGTTCAATCATGTTGATTACTTTAACAATTATGGAAATATAATATTAGTTATCTCACAATCAAAGGAAAAAAGCACCAACATGTAAAAATTATACACATCATCTTTGACATTGAAGTGCGAACAAATGTCTAGATTCATCATTTCTTACTTTGTGTCCATATTAGGTGCCAATAAGAATGCTTAATTTAAAAAGAGAGTGTTAACAATAGCTTTTGTAAATTCACAATACAGATGATGTACATGTAAGTAATATTTTTGTTTTTGCCATAGCCCTAAGGATGTATTGTTTGGACAAAAAAAGAATAACAAACCATTAAACATTTTTGGTGCTAGTGCATTTATGTAAGTTGGAGTCATTTCTAGTTTGTCAAACTTTCATACAAAACAAACAAGTTGACACCATCTTAAAAGGTGTATATCTTGCTAATACATCTTAATGTCATACTTTAAGCCATGTTTGGTTGCATGAAATGGTGTTTTAAGCGACTTAGGCATTTTAAATGATCCAACAGAATGAGTGGTGTTCAATCCAATAAAACACTGCATGTGTTGTCAACATAGCTATTATTGTAAATTGTTGACATGATTTAAAACTGAGTTAGTAAGAGTCTCTAAGTGCTGGTGATAGGACTTTATAGATAGTTGTAGAGAAATTTTATTTTTAGGACAAATAAAGAAAATTATTGATTTGTTTTATATTGTGATGATAAAAGCTCAAAAGTGTTAAATCCTTGGTGTTTTAAATTTCAAACAACAAGCAATTATATATTGTTGTTATAAAGCTGTCCTGAAAAAATCTTGTGAAGAAAAGTTTGTAAAGTAAGCTTGCTCCAAAACCTTTGACAATAACTTAGGAATGAACATGTTGCTCGAATTGTGAAATTATACCATAAATGAGTTTAGTAAGTATTACAAATGGTTTATTCATAAATTGGGACCAGATTAGCCATCTCAAGTAGAGGCCAGCTCGCTAAATTGGCAGCTCGCCGAATAAAAGCTCTCAATAGATCTGTTAGCGGAGCTGTGCACAAGAGTAGATGAAGTCTGGTTTGCTATAAATAAAAAAATTGATTTTTGAGAGTCACGAAGAAGCAATTGAATAACGACATTTCTCCACAAAACGTTGTTAGAAGTCGAGGTATCCAGGTTAACGGTATAAATGCATCGCTGTGAATAACTTACTATAGCTGACATTCACTGGACTTGCAACTAATGACAGATTGACAGCAGTAGAAGCTTCTGAGAGGAAGATATCAGTTCCATCAAAAATTACGCAACTTATCTCTCACATACAGCAGAGGAAAGTGTCAATACATGTGTAAAATGAGGTTTACATTCAACATGTCATGTTCTACAAGACACTAATGAACGATATAAAGATATTGAATATCAAGACCAAAGTCTATGACAAACACAAGAAGACGTAGACTTCAAATTCAACCAAAAATTCATATTCAGAATGAATGAAGCAGGGGCCCACGTCTCGGAGTAGCTACCATCTTATTTTTACACTGCGGTATCGTGATGTCATTTTTGGGGTTGAAATACAAGGCACAAGCCTGAAAAATCTGGACAGCCTTCGGCTATAATGTGAAAGAATGATCCTTGTCCTACGCAGAAATCTAACCAATCCGACCTGGAAGCGCAACAAAAAAATTGCTGCAGGAGATCAAGAGGATGGCTCTGATCTCAATTAACAAACGATATGTACATCACAAGCCATCCTTCACACTGGACAAAGTAGGTGGTATGCACAAAAGGAAGAAGAAGCTACAGGTTCATATTGACATGGTTGGAGAAGTCTAGTGTTCCGGCGCCTTCAAACCCCATCCACTCTTCCCAATCTTCCCACGAGTCGCCTTCGACTCCCATAAACCCTTCCAAGTTGTCAGATAGATCATCCTCGAACTGTCCAAACTGCGAGGTGGTGTTGTTGAGAAGCGTCTGGGGAAGCAGAGAAAGTTAACAGCATGCGGAATAACAGTAAAAGCAATTCGTGCAACCAGGAACACATGCTTCTGGACGTAAAAGTAACAAACGTTGACATTATGAGTTATGGTTGTACAAAAAGAAACGGACAAAGCTAATTCACATTGGCGAAAGGAAAAGGAGACTACCTCATACGCTTGATTGATCTGCTGGAAACTTGATGTGCAGAAGTTACCCTCACAGACGTCCGGATGGTACTTAAGCGCGAGACGTCGGTAGGCTTTCTTGATCTCGTGCTTGGTAGCATCAGGACTTACACCGAGAGTGGAGTAGGGATCCTTTGAGGTGGCAGCTCCAACACTAAACGCCATTGCCACCCCTGCTTTCGGTCTCGGGCTAGAGCTTACAGCACTCAGGCTCCGTGGTGAGGAAGACATTGCGTAGTCTCCCTGCTGAAATGAACTCCTGCCACTAGAGATAGGGATTGCTTTGCTGGTAATCATTCTGAACCTGCTGGTTTAACTTGAACAGCGAAGACGTGTGTCAAGTCAATACACGAGCTTCAGCGGAACGGACAGTCACGAAGTGTGATCTCACACTAAGGCGGGAAAATAGATACAGAAGTTGCTTTAACAGTTCTGTACGTAGGCGAGCAGACGACAAGAAGCAATCACGTCGCCAAACCTCAAGTCTAAAGACGCAAACTCAAAGACGATACAAGTGTTGCACGGACGCTTCTTAGGCAGCCAATGTATCCCCGAAGTCAAAAAACAGAAACAAGTCGGCACTGAGCCTCAACACCACCAGAGCCTAGAAGCTCTTAAAAACCACCACCCGTGATACACCTCAGAAAAACAGCAACTCGGCTTCAAACGCTCGCTACTTAAGAAGCCCGCATTCCTGTCAGTGCCAACGCCGAGTGGCGAACGATTGAAACAAGCTCCAATATCTCGCTTCAAACTGCTTCCACAAACGCGTCGCGAAACGGGAAACAAAACGGAAACGCGCAGACAGAACCAGAAGCAGCGCAGGAATCAGAACCAAAGAGATCAGTAAACAATCACTTCAGAACTTTGGCACATTTATCGAGGCAAAACGCCGAGCTTGAGCATCGCATTGACAAACTACGAAATGACCGATGAAGCAACAAAAGCAAACGCAACTGTATCACTGAAGCTAGGATGCCGAGCCTGGCCCGAACCTGGAACAACCCACGTTTCGATACGAGGTTCGGGGCTGGTTCGGACTGGACTCTGGTGGTCAGATGACGTGGACGCCGCTGCGAAGTTTCGCTAGAAATTAACAAAAACCATATACCCCTAATCTTAATCCGGATATCTGGAGAGTTTTAGATATCAAAATATTTGGTTTCTTATGATGATCCAGAATTAGGGCTTCTTGCAAACTTGCAGAAACTCACGACCCATAAAAACCCCGATTTCGGAACGAAGGAGCCTATGCTCAATTGACACAAGTGGTGGATATTGTGCCACGAGAGGGTCCCTTTTGTAGGCAAAGTAGGTGGTACCCACCCCACCCTTCAATTTATTCTTACATCCACACTATTTAATTCCTGGGTTTTGTTGCTTTGGGATAGGGTACTGAGGCCCCCATTCCTCACTCATGGGCTCCAACCACATTCTCCCCTTCATACCTTCATTGTGGGATCCATGAACTACATGTTCTAATATTCATCCATCGCCTTGCATGCCACCAAATATTAAATCCAAACCAAAAATAAATAAAAATGATAATAAAAAAATCAGATGTTTTACTCAAATCCCATTAACAGTATTTATTTAATTTTTTGTAGGATTACAGTGGGGATGAAAAGCACCACTAGAAGGAGCTCAAGAGATGCTGCCAAGTGGATTTAGATCGCACGGCTCGTCGGACACGGCGACCTCTATTATCTGAACGGCCCCGATTATCTTTATCTGGACCAATCCAACTGCTCATGGATCTCGTCTTATCCGTAATTTATTAATGGACATTTATGTCATTTTTAGAGAGGCCGAGCAACCCACACAGAACGGAAAGTCCAATCAGGGTTTCCAGGAGTGTCAGTTTTGCCTACGTGGCTCGACCACGACACGTGGTAATGGAGGGAGTGAATGGGTATTGGACACGAGGTTTTGCATTGAGAACGCGACTGGGAATAGATCCGACGCGTGCCCGAGGTTAGAAGATCGTTTTGAGAACGGGTTCCCTTTCTGGTGCCCGCGGGGAACCGTGGTTGTGAAGTCTATGGATGGTATTTGGACGTTCATCCGTTCGTGACTCCCGTTAGCCCTTCTTCATCCAAATAAAATTTAATTAAGTCCTTCATATTTTCTCGTGTTTTTAAAAAATAATTTGAACTGATAGAAAAAATTTGTGGTAATAAAATTATTAGAATTAAAATTACATTTAAGTGTTTTCTAGTTATATTCATACAATTTTTTTTTGGCTCAGTTATTTAAAAACCTAAAACTTGAAACAATAAAATCTCTCTTGTAACAAATCAATGCTTTTATTTATTTATTTCATGATTTTTTGCTTCTCCAATACCAACACATATAATTAAATTTATTAGGGCAATGGTAGAAATAGAATTTCTATTTAATTAGATGTATGTTGTTTTATATCTAATTTATGGTCAAAAGATAAAACAGGATTAATATACATTTATACACAGTTTTGATAAAATTTTATCACTCTTTCTAAATGAACATTTGATTACTTTTAATTTTTTTGTCAGTGATAGAACTAGTACTAGTTTTTTTTTATAAACTAGTATACTTTGTGAGAATCACTAAATAAAAATGTATATTTCTATAATCTAATGATTTTGAATTTTTTACAGATAATCTATTTTTAAAAAAAATAAAATTTTGAATATCCTACAATAATTTATATTTTGTTTCACAGTAATATGTTTTACATATCTTTATATAAATTTTTGAGTTTCAACACTTATTAAATATTGAAAGCATACAAAACAAAATTAATATATTGGTACACTATATTGGAACTTTATATTTTAATATTGGTATTTAAGTTTTTGTATATATATATATATATATATTTGAAAATAGATATAAAACCATTTATTTTAAAAAAGAGTTAATTCAGTATGGTGAATGTGATATGACATAAATAGACTTGAAAACTGTAAAATAAACAAGTTTTTAAAAAATGACAAAATGAATATTTTTTCTGATTTGTTATCAAACAGTATCATTATCAAAAAAAAAAAAAAAAAAAGAAAAAAAGTAATAAAAGTAATAAAAGTGGCTGGAACTTAATTTTAATACCCTCTTTTAAAAATTCTTAAAACTTTAATAATTAGATTGCATAATTTATTTAAAATTTATAAATTATGAAATTATAAATCTGAAATAATAGATTTTCCTCTGAAATTATGAATTCAACATCTACAAAATTATATTTCTTAAAAGAAAACAAGTTTTATTTTCAGATTTTTGTATTTAAATTTAGTGTAAGTCTAATTTTACAAATTGCAATTTATATTATAGAAGATTGCTAATGTATCTATCAATATAAAAAAAATTGACAAGTCTACATTTGGCTAGAGCATCAAAAAATCCCATTGATTGGAGCAATAGAGTGGTAAAACCCAATTATGGGTTTAACCCAAGTTTTAGGGCCAAGTTACCCAGCTAAATGGGTCTCCTTTTTAGTGTATATCTGGCCTATAAATGAATATGACTTCTTCAAAATCAGCAACAATATTCAACACTAATATTTGAGGATCATTTGTAGATATGTCACATATTGGTATTTTCTCAAAGTATCTCTAAATAAAATTAAACATGGAATGTTTTCAAATAAAATTGCCACATGGCAGACATCAAATCTAATGCAGACATCAAATCATGATTCAAAACATATTGCACATTGACATAGACCTCAAAATCATTTGTGTAAAACTTTTAAACTTATTATTATTACGATTAAGATTATATATTACCAAAACTATGAGATCATCTTCATAGTTCTAAATACAAATTTTATAAAAGAAATGTGTATCAATATTTAGTTTTTGAATATTTAAGAACTAAAAATGAGAAAAAAAGAAAAAAGAAAAAAGAAACTAAGAATCAAAAAGTTATTGTGCTACCAATAGTTGGTATTTAACTCTTACTGATCATACATAATTGTTTTTCGAAATTATTGAGTTGCTTCAACTGAATTTGGCAACAATATATCTTATTTATGTATTTTTTAATATTATGTCAAATCATTTTATCCTTAAATTTTATTTGTGAATCAATTGTTTTATAGCTTTTAACACTTACATTGGTAAATTTATGAGTTTAATTTCATAGTTTTGGTAATATATAAACTTAATGGTAATAATAATAAGTATAAACTTATGAGTTTAATCTCATACATTCTTATTCATGAGAATATGTAAGTATTAAAACTTAGAAATTACTAAATCATTTTGGAAATTACGATTTAATACTTACATATTCTCATGAATATTTCAAATTTTACATTACAATATTTATTTTATTTAACAATTATTCAGAGTACCACAATCCAAATTACTTTGATGGATAATACACATTCAGGTTATTACAGACTTGGAAATAGAATTCTTATTGAATTAATATATATTTGTTTCAAATATTAGTATTATTTAAAATTTGATTGCTACTAAGATAGCTAAAATTAATCTTTTTAGAAAACGAGCTGTTTAGAAATAGTTTGGTATATGCCGTATAGAATGATGACCACAATTAATTCATTTTTATATTCATGTCTAACTGATAATCTTGTAGACATATGGGATTTTAGTTTTTAATTTTTTTGATTCTTCTAATTCTTTAGTAAAGAAAATTACAGTACATTTAATACTTCTTTCTAGTTGATTCGTTTTTATAACAAATATTTTGTAGTTCTGACATAAAAATTCTTTTAATGTCAAATTTTTAGACTCTTATGACAACTTAAAAGTCAGACAGAAACAAAAATAACAATAAAAAAACTTAGTATTTTTTATTCTTATTTTTAAATAAGAAAAAAAAAAAACACGACCTAAATGTTAAACTAAAGTAAAATTATTTATATTTAATTCTACTGCAAGAAGTAAAATAAATTTTAAGACTGAGTTTTGATTGCACAATGTGATTCATTTTTTTGGTTATCTGTCTAAATTTAAAGCTACCAAATTTGTTGAAAAACAAGTTTTTATCTCCTACTGAATTTGAATTGAAATACATATTCCATAGATTGTGCTTACTTGTTTTTCTATGTTATGTGAGCACAATCCTTCAAAAAAGAACTTGTTGGAATTGATGTGATTATTCTAAAGAGATTCAGTTTGGGTTTGTAAATTGAATTTCGGTGATTGACTGATTTAGTGATAACTAACCAACCAAGTGCATTGTTTTTTTATTTCTATTTTTAAAAATTATTTGAAACAAATTGTGGAATTATATCCCATTGATAAACGAAATGATACAATTGTAAGCTTTAGAGTTGAGGAAAAGGGCACAATAACCTCCTCAAAGAACAAATATGATTCAATTCCTGCATAGTAGATTTGCTTCTCACGGATACATCCTTTTTACACTTCACAAATCGAAAATCAAAAATCCAAAAAAAGTAATGTATAGGAACATTATAATTTAAGTAGCACACAAATCAGTAACGAATTATAGTAATAAAATTTCAGAGAATTCACTTCATTCTTTTTTTAAAAAAAAGGGGGATAATCTTTGGCCATTGCACATGCTCACCTCATTTGAGCCGTTTTCTAAGATCCCAAACTCCAATTTACTCCTTTAACAAACAATTTATTACCTCTCCATGTGGGTTTTCCTTAATCAATTTTAATATTTAACATCTAAGAACATAAAACCAAAGACTATAAAGATTCCAAATAATACAAAAAGAAATCAAAAAACAAAAAACAAAACAAAATTGACTTCCTCCATACAAAGAAGTAAAATCACATCCTTACTTTAAACACATCACACTTAACTCACTAGAAACATCACTTGAACCAAAGATTCGTTTTTACAAGTCCATTCATCTCCGTGCAATAAACTCCTGTAACAATCCCCTATTCCACGTGTCGCTCGTCCATTCGATAACAGCGTCGTCTACGTGGACAGAGCATTGGCGAATCGGCACCGTTCAAATCGTCGTAGTCTCGGCCGACACTCGGACGGAGCTCATCATCGCATTATCGCGTAATACATAGAGAAACTGGAAAACCGAACTCAATAAAGAACCCGATTTGTCTAACTCTCCGTCGCAGGACCGATCCCTTGCTTGCTTCGACGTTGCGTGATCGTGTGCAATTAAATCTAGCAACCGCGACGGCGCAATCTGTTTGTGTGCATAGTGCTATGGATAATTAATTGCTGAAGCTACATGGAATCTCGTTTCCAGCAGGGATTCATTCGCATCGCACCGCAAACATCATGTGGTGATGGCGGGTCATCGTAACGCGCGATATGTGTAGCTGGAGTGATTGAGAATGAGAGAGAGAGAGAGAGAGAGAGCGAACAGCACTTTATCAATCATTGTATTCATCAGAAAGGTTTCACGCAAGTTCTGGTGCTTTGAAGTGTGAGGTTTCTCACGAGGAGTGACGAGTACTTCTTATGCTGATTTTTCTAAGGGAATGAAGGACTATTCTGCTGCGAGAATGTAAGAATCAGTCTACAGCTTCTTACGAAACAAGCTAACTGAGAGTTGTACCGGCAATTCACTCTCCTTCACCAACTAAACCAAATAGAGAACGTATAAAAAAACGTTGATTAATAAGCTGTGTAGATTATATACAGGTGATGAAGCTCAGTCCACCTTTGCCCCCAGGACAGCTCGCTAATGTCTTCAATTGGCAAGCCGTGGATCTCCAAGTCCTGTTGTCGATCGTCGCCTGGTTCCAATGCTTTTTACATTTTATTTATTTATTTATTTTCCAGTGAGGAAAATGCAATGTGAATCCTGGCATAGTGTGTGTGTGTGTGTGTGTGTGGAGTAATCAAGAGTGTTGTAATTCTTCTACCTGCTACCTGGTCGCATTTAAATCTCCAGATTTCGCCATCTCCTGCGATCTTAGCCCATTCTCCAATTAGTCTTCGTTGGAGTTGGGAGGCTGTTGCCGACGTTGAGATCTTGTTTGATTGTCGCTCGAACTTCCTACCTCCCGCTGCTGCAGCGCTGCTCTGGCTTGCAGAGCTCGCATCCGTTCAACCTCCACTCGGTTTCGTGGACTACTCTGGAGCCGACTTGCAAAATTTTCATGTGGACTGGCTGCACTGCCCTGATTAAATGTTGATGCCGTAGCTGTTAAGTCATCTACGTTAGTGCTAATTCCCCGCCTGACTGCATCCACTAATTCCTTCTCTTCCGCTTCCAGCACCCTACGCACTAAATCGCCTTCAGTTGGCGGTGTTGTTTGTTGAGGAAGATCGAGGTAATCAGGATCTGCCATTGCGGGGTTATGATTCCTGGTTTGAGAGGGATCACTCCGTGGTCTGCCATGTTGCGGTCTCATCATGTACATCGTTTCTGGAATTCCAGTGGAAGGAAAAATCGTGCCTGGATATGGGAACCCATAACAAAAACCTCCGGGCAAGAAATCCAGCGATCTAAAATGGTATGGCTCTGCTTTGATGGATCCAAAGGCGGGATCGTGTAGTCCTAGAAATTGCTGTGCCCGATTTAGGCTCTCTCGTAGGAAGCTCCCAGGAAATCGAGGGCCAGGTGGGATCCCTAGGCCTTGCAGTGATCTTGCACTCTGCTGCAAGCTTCGCAGTTGGCTTAAAGCGGCGAGTGAAAACTCCGGGGGTAACGGTAAGAGGTTCCCGCGAGGGCCCAGTCCGGCAGGATTCACAGGATTCTGATATAATCTGCCACCAGGTTCGAGAGGCCTTATTGACCCAGGTGACCGAAGGACTCCTGGCGTCTGATGTGTGTGTGTGCCTTCATAGGTTGTGATAACCAGCCCTGCATCCTCGCTGGACCGTTCCACCCTTTTCCGAACCGGGCACTGCGGTGTGGTGCACCTATAATAGTTTCTGCACATATCTCAGAACGATTTTAATCAGATACTTGTTGCTAACTAGACTTGAAGATGGGGGGAATATGGTGATAAACGCGCGTGGTGACCAGACAAACCTTGGATGAGGGCTGTTCTTGACGGCTTTCTGGCCATATTTGCGCCATTTAAAACCATCGTCCATGATGTCCACGTCGGTTCGCGTTTTGATGGCAAATCGAGGTTCTCGCCGTCTCGCAGCATTCCCCTTCTTCCTAGGCAAGTTCCTGCTCACATACTTTCCTTCAGACCCTTCGTTCCCTCAACGGTTTGAAGTGATCAGCAATCAACGACAGCATTGAAGTGATCATTGCTCACCAAAGAAGGTTGACGTGCTGATGATTTTGATACATGAGCACGGCATAAATTGCACTAGAGAAGACCATCTACTGTTTGCGAGGTTCAGTGTGGACATTTCGCAGTTGAGTTCAGAATGCATAGAATGTGGGTCGAGATTCAGGAAAGTTCTTACTCAAACGCCGTCTTCTTGAGTTCAACCTCCGACGTTCTTGCAGAGTCATCCCCCTCTTCGCCTGGCGGCTCCCGTATTTTCCTCTTCCCACTGTTGTCAGTTCCAGGTGGTTCGACATTTCTGGTGCACTCTTCATAGTCGCTTTCGTCGCTGGGCCCCGACGACAGGGACGTGTTTGGCGTGCCCATAGAATTCTCCGAACGAGTAGATGCGCCTGGTTCAGTATTCGCATTCCCTGCCACGCTGGGCAGTGATGCTTGGGTTGGCAGCGGAATAGCGCGATTCACGTCACTCTCGGGATGTGTCTCTGAAGACCTGGCAAACTGGCTCGCTATGGATTGGTCCCATCCAATCCTTGCTTCATCCCTTCCATTAGAGCAAGATTTCAGATTCCGGCCATCAAATTGTGGAATACCTGACGCTGAATCTGAACTCTGAGTTCCTGATGATTCCATGGGTGCGAAATTTCTATAAAATGCTTCCCCGCCTCGAGGTAAATAGGATTCCGGCCCAAAGTAGCCACCGCTTCGGTACCATTGTGCAGCACCTCCCTCATATAGTAGCGCATCTGATGAAACTACTCCGTGCTCTGCAGATGACGAAGCGAAAGGATATAGCTGGTCAAGACGATGTTGGTTCAAATTGTCGCCAGGAACAGGGGGCAATTGACCGATCGCATCACGTGATCTGTGGCCTTCGTCAACTGCTGCAGAGGCAGTCATGTGTTGAGCTTGAGATGCAGCGATTTTTTGCTGTTCCAGTTCTTCCATCCATGGATTCTCAACGACCGTGTCTCGGGGAAAATTGGTAGTCGGAATTGGAGATTGAATGAGATTATAGTAATCACGAGGAGAGGAGGGATTGGAAGAAGAGAGGTGCTGCCAGAGATTGGCAGGAATTGGCGACGAAGCATCGTAGTTTGGATCAACTCCCCTGGTGGAAGTCGTAGGTGATGGCACAGCTGCTTGATCCTGGTCGGCCGTGTTTTCTAGCCTTTGCAGCAAATGCTCTAAATAGCTGGCGCTTTCTGTCACACCCTCTCCGTGTTGCTCAATTGGGGCTGGCCTTCCAGCCATGGCCGTATGTTGTCACTTCCACAGAAAAATATCCTTTTCTCTCTGACACGGAGGGACGAAAACACTTCTTTCAAAACCTTTCCTAGTGCCATCACACTCAATCTCGGAGGATTGTCTTAATAAAAGAGATAGAGAATAGGAAATACTGATCCTCCCTGTCGAAGTGTGTTCAAAACAGTCTACTACCCTAAGAAACCTGTAGCAATCGCAAGAAGTTGTCTATCTGAGCTGTAGTGTCGAATTTCTAGCAAACACGCAAGTTCAAATCACATGGGGCAAAAAACACAATCATACATACAGGGACTATTTCGGAATAAACCTGTTGGTAGAACGTCTTTAGTGGCGCCAAACTATTCACTTTGGGCTTTAATAGTGGAGGCAGATAGCCCAGGTAGACACATTCTGGAAATGGTAACGACGATGTTTGTGCCATGACTTATTCCATGTCTCCCTTGCAACAAATTGGGGTTGTCAGAACATAATCATTTGAGTAAATAGCAGGCCGTAACAAGCTGCTTTTCCAATTGACGAGTTAGACGAATGGTAGATTCTAATCGCTGACCATATCGATCGTCGGGCTTCACGTGAGAGGAGCAAAACATTCAGCGGAGAAACCTCAGCCACTGAAAGTAGAGAGGTGTGACCTCGGAGCCTAATCTTTGTATGCTTGGAAGCAGGCTTTTTCCACACTAATCGCACAAGCTCTAACACTAATATATCACCCCGTGACAATGCTACGAAAACCCGCTCCAGGTAATGAAGAAGACTGAGATGGTCGAGGAGTGGCAGGATTCTCTGCTGTTGTAATCGAGAGATGATTTCGTTGTGAGGAATTACAGGAACATGCTCCAGCTTCGTCTAATAGAACATGTGCCCCAACTAGACAACGCTCTGCTCAAAAACGTTCTAATTGATGAAGCTAGAGAGTGAAGCAGTAAATCATCATCGTAAAAACTGAAGTCAATGGCGTCCTGACGATGGAAAGTAACGTTCGACCTGGAATTTTTGAACTGTAGAATGTCCCAGAACAGGTACGCCCCCACAATGTCCAAGCCTGTGGGATTCACGAATTTCTAATTCTCGTCAGGCTCGGTCCTATGTTACGGCCCGTTACCCAAATCCACAGAGGGCTGGAAAAACAAAATGTCGGGGCTACTTCGCGTGCTTTTACTTGAACTCCGTAGGCAACACTTGGAATAATAATTACATTGCAACCTCTGAAATCAACACGCAATCCATGACTGGTGGAATGAAGCACCGCAGGTGCACCTTCGTACGGCAGCACGGTTGAAATGAGCGGTGGGAATCCATAACCACTCTTGGTCTCTCAAGTGCCGACCACTCAACATCACCGTGGGCACAAATAGCCCCAAGTGAAGGTCTATACTCTTCACATAGTAGTACTACGCGCTGGATGGCGAGAACCGAACCGACCAACCTCGAGAATCGCCAGCTTCAGCCCATGACGCGACTGTACAAGTGAACCTTACGTCCAAGTTATTGAACAAACCGCGAGTTTTTTGTCGTCATTCATTGAACATTCTGAGATTCAACTACAAGCCCAATCGGTGGAACTACTTGTTTTACCTTGAGATTTCCACACGTCCACGATTATGCAGTACCTATATTTGCTCGAGCAAGCCTTTTTTCCTAAGGTATTGCGCTTCTGGAGCTCGAATAATTCAATCGTGCCTGCACAGGCACTATTTCACTCCCCTTCACTCACCTCTCACTCCAACGGTTCGTGGAAGCGAATCAGGCCCAATCTGAGTCTGGTGTACAATTGACTGCAAGGCACTCGACTCAACTAGTGAATGATCCCACTCCTTTTGAAACAAGCAAAACGTTTCTTTACTCAGCGTGCTCTCTGCTTGAACTGCTTCTACAACTACATCAACTCCTCTTGTTATTTTCCTCTTTCTAGCGGCATCAACGACCGCGACGTCGAGAGGTTGAATGAATTTTGCAACTGCGGCGGTGCCAAAGACAAAGACAAGTACCTCCCATCATTCACTGCCCGCGAGACCCATCCTCAAGAAAGGAGAGAAGGGATGTACAAAAGGTAAAGATGAAGAAGAAATCCGAAGAAAACAAACACATCTACAGTATCTCACGGCGTTTTGGCCTCAGAAACGAGTACATTTTGTCACCAAGCCCCGCTTGGTAGAGGAGGAGGCACCTACATGTCAACTCAGCCAGTCGCACTAAGCGATCTCTATACCCGCTGTGCGGATGTGTGCAGTCGGTTTTCCAGGACTGTGACGGCCAACACTTGAATAATATCCTTCAGGTCCGCAGCTGGTCCACGCCTAGTGCAGGCCGCTCAGCGAGGCAGGATGATCTGTGAGCTGACTTTAGCAAGTCTTCCTTTCTGACAACGAGATCTCATCATGCTCACCTGTAGCTGCTGCAGTTGCCAGCAACAGCAACAGCAACAGCAACCCGCCTTCCCTCCCACCTACACTTGCATACAGCATCCGTGTGGGGTGTGCGAAACCGGGCTCTCGCAGCGTGGCAGGACATTACTTCGAATTGACACGCTCGTTGTCGGACTCTTCGTCCCCAAGTCACCATGATGAATAAAGCAGGCCCCTGTTGCCAGGTCCTCCGCCCTCGCGTCGTTGTACACCGCTCTTCCTCTCTCTCACTCACTCACTCTCCCCTTCATCGCCATGAATTCCGCAACTACATTCCCTCTCGCGACGGCGAAAATACCGTTTCCCCACACCCGATTTTACTTCACTAAACCCATTTTACAGTTGCGACCGAATCTTCCCCAGATTGATCACGACCCAACTCCCATATCGGGAAATGCTGTTGAATATTCAAAGCCTGATGAAGTTCTGGGTTTGTGAAAAGCGGCACAACCCACAAAGTCGGCGATGTACAAATGCAAACTACTACTGAGCTATGGATTGGGTGGCTGAGCATTTTGGTATTTTATACCTTTGAGAGTTGGTAGAATTTATGAGTCCTTTTCAATGGGTTTCACGACGTCTCTAGAAACAACGTTTCGGTTTATCATTTCGAAAATGGGAGGGAATCTGCTTTCCGTTGTGAAACGCGCCACAGAAGGAGTGATCATGGAATTTTACAAAACCGAAATAAAAAATCAAACACTAAAAAAAATTAAATTTACGAAAAAAACGATGCCTCCCGCGTTTTCCCCTAATCAACCACGTAAAGAGCTGCTGCTGCTGCGTCGTCCTACATTCCTCATCCCTTTGGTTCATCCATATGGATGAATATAGGACATCTGGTGTGTGTGTTTGGATAGATGGATGCCCGTTGCTGGTGGTCTGACAGGGGAGGCACGGTCACCCACACCCGTTGTGTCCCTTCCCCCCGCGGTGAAGCCAGCAGTGAAGCCCAAGTTGGACGGTGACCTGCACTTATCGGCCAATTAAATGCCCTTGTGGATGATGCCGATTGATTGATGTGGCCTACCCTGCCCCGCGCCGCCCAGCCCAGCCCAGCCCCGCCCACCTCCAGTGGCTTCCAAAGCTGCCTCCTCCGCCCCCTTGCCCGTCCCTTGCGTGTCCCCTATTGGGCGCCGACGTGGACTGCTGACGTGGTGATGATGAACAGTATCATCCAGTTATATGTTTCATCCATACACATTCGTTGCTTTACTCCCAGTCACGATTCTTTCCAGTTTCCCCTTCCCTTCCCTCGTGTGGAGGATCTGGTCTCCTCTCTCAAGATAAGAAAAAAAAACTTTAAATTCTCAAACTACTCCATCAACAAACGGCACCAATTAGGGCTTTCAACTCTTGAGGCTTATCTATGTGCCCCCCCCCCATTCCCCGAGTATCCTCACAATCATTCAAGCAGTGCAGCTATGTAATAATAATGTGTAGAGTGGGCATAGGGATTAAAAAATTAATAATAAAAAATAAAAATAAACATCCTCATCAATCCATCATGCATTCCATACATATACAAAAAAAAGATACATGGATGAAGATTTCTACTTGGTGGGGACAGTGTACTTTCTTGGTCTTTCTAGGTTACATTTTAGGGTTTGCTTTTACTTTTTACCTGATGGGGGGGGGAGAAGAGGAGGAAGAAGAATATTCCATATTGGGAGGGGCTAGTGGAGTGAACCTAGAGCGTATCTTTTTTTATTTTTATTTTTTTGTGTTTTTCTTTTTCTTTTTTATTTGTCTCATGAGTTTTGTGTTTCATTGACTCATTTGCTTTGATGGGGACTTTTTGTATTTTGCTGGGAGGCATGCATGCACCATCTGAGAAAAAGTAGTGGAAAAGGCCCTCCTGAAGGACTGAATGCAGGTCTCTCACAGTTCCTATAACTTTTGGGGGAACAAAAGTAAAGTATTGAGGAACTAGGCTTGTAGTTCTATTTGAAGCTTTTATGAACTTTGCAAGTATAACGTCTCTCTCTCCCTCTCTTGCTTGGTTTTGGTGTGTCTCTTTTTTTTTTTTTTTTTTTTTTTTTTCCCCTTCCCCTTCCACTTCTAAGCAAAATAACAAAGTGATTCCATTTGGTCATGTTTCTGCAGGGAGCTTTGTATCCATTAATGTGCATTGAGGTCTTTTTGTTGGTCTTGAATTAATTAGTTTGTATTTGGATTGAATTGGTTTTTTATTTTTTTATTTTTAAACATGAACATTATTTTGAATTTAAACACTACTACAGCACCACATACACAATGGATAATTTTCCATTAAATTTATTATTATTATTATTATTATTATTATAAAAAAAACTACCATTCTACATGGATTTTGAATTGAAGGAAAAAAAAAAAAAAAAAAAAAATTGTAACTGCTAAGAAATGAAAAGAAACACTTGTTGATTATTTTGATTTGTTGAATGTGCAATACATTGCAAAATCTATGAAAGTGTACCATGTCATTGGAATTATTAGACCATGCTTGCTTTGAATTGATGGATTTGAAACTGAAAGACTAGCATAAGCATACAAAATTGGGATATAAATAAAAATGGGTTTTTCAAAGCTGACAAATTGTATGTGTATGTATATTTCATTTGGTTCCAAACTTTTAGTCCCACTTTTATTTAAAAAACTCAAAAAATGAGATGTTAGTTTTAACAATTAACTTTAATACTTTAAAATATAAAAGTTGAATTAAAATTAGGTCAAATTATGAATAAATCAAAACAAAAGATTAGCTGATGGGTGGCACAAGGATCTTGTTTTAATTTAACAGTTATGCCAGGATACAGCCTTCTACAAAGAAAAAGGAAGAAAAATAAAAAAAATAAAAAAGTGAAATGAATAAAATTAGGCAAATTTTGGCTAATGTTCTCAACTATGATGTATAGAAAACTAAAAACCACAAAACCACCTTGATAACTGAACAACTTTAAATTATTCAAAAACCTTAAGATATTTGGCTGAGGTCTATAAGCCCTAAAAAGATACAAGGCTACCATGATATCAAATGCAAGTAGCTGCAAGGATTATGCTTCTTCTGTCAAGGCTGCCTTTGTTTTTTTTGTTTTTTGTAATAGTTATTCCCGTCATTGATCTTGTTCAATGTTACAGTTTTTTCATTCATCTGAATAAGAAAATGGAAGTAAGTGCAATCTGGATAAATTAAGAGTTGCAAAGCATGATGGGACCTCGTAAATACATAGGAAGTTGAAGTCAAAGGTATTGTTATACTTCACACAAAACCAACTACCTTTAATTTAGCCAACCCATTTTCAATAACTTAAGCATTTTAGTATATTTTCAATTTGTGCAAAATAAATAAAAAATACTTCTATTTAGGAAATAGAAATCAAGAAGATTTTAAGTATTTTTACATAATTTGGTCCAAAAATAGAATTTATATAAATATTTTAGTTAAAGATTCTCTTTAATCCATTTTTGATATATGGACCAATCTAATTTCAACCAATAGTAGGTTATAAAATTCAAAATCTAACTTTTATAAAATTGAGAGGTGTTAGAATGTGTGATTTGAGGGAATGAAATGATGCTTCGGTGTTGTATTACGTATCATCTTGTTTGAGAATGCACTGGGCATTTGGCTATAGAAGGTGGGATTCTATTTTACAAATATTCAAGAATCTTAATATGTTTCATTTTTATAAGAAGAATGTAATTTGAATTTTAATTCAAAAATACTTAAATCCAATACAAAGTGCTAAAAAACACTCTTTTTAGTAACCTCAACCATACATAAACTCTAATTGCCTTGTTACTTTCATAATTAGGTAATTTTGGATTTTTTTTAGCAAACCTTAGTCCTAATTAGCAAGCTTTAGTGAGTTGTAGCTCCTAATCTAACTATCCAATTAGAACAAAATTTTGCATACAAATGCTACTACAAGTCCTCTATATGCTCAAAAAAAATTCATTCCAATCCAACTTACAGATTGTAAGAAAATGCCCAAAAACCACATTGATGTTACTTGACCACCAACTTAAAAGTTAATGCAAATGTTTCAGTAATGATTTCTCCTTCTCCAACCATTAACTTCAACTCAAAATTGGTATGTAGCTTCAATTCTCTAATACCATGCCAAATTTCATCTTCATCTAATTGTTAGAACTTTAGATATCATAGAAACTCTATCAAACTTCAAACTACCAACTTCCAATACCTTCTTGTACCAAAATCCAGATATCTCTTAACCACACCATTAGATTTTTATAAATTTTCATATGCACTTAGCACACCCAATTAACTAAGTATTATCAAATTTTGAACTATAGATGTGGTACTAATTTTATGAATTAGTCAAGAATGCTACCTCTAATTGCTTTGCATCAATTTCAAGTTGTCAATACAAACTTAGATTTTGAACAACAATTGTCAAGTCAAAACAAAGCCTATGAAAATAAGTCTTATTTCTTTGAAACAAGCTCCTAGCTAGCTCTTGAATCCTAGTCTCTAATCTTCAAGTAAAATCTTGTTTTGCCCTAGGTCATTGTTTTAGTAGCTAGAGATTTGATTTCGACCATATCTCACAAACTGTTGACCCTTGGGTATCAATCAAATCTATCCTAGGGATTTTTTTAGTCCAAATTTATCTTCAACTTAATCTTAGTATCAACCATGCTAATTATTTACCTCTTCTAACTTGATTTTATCAATTTATGGTCTTTTTAAGGCAATAAAAGAGTCTCTACAATCTAAAAGATAAAATTACTAATCAATCTTTAACCTATTAACTATTAAGGCAAGAAAATAAAATAAAAGATTTTTATAAAAGCCATATTTAAATATCATGAATTATTATTGAATCAAGATAATTAGATATTAATTAGAAATTAATTTTTGATTATATTTTTACCATATAGTTGTATTACATTACAACATCAAAGCATCCAATTCTATAATGCAAGAAATATTTGAGAATAGAAGTAGTGGTTGCATTTTATCTAAGATTAAGTAATTGTTCTATCGTTGTAGTTAAGAAGCAATTAACTTCACTTTAATCTCTTTGTCGTACTCGCATCATATAACAGAAGATAACATTGTGGTGGAATTGCAATGTAATTAGGATTTTTACAATGATTACTTTGAACTTGTCTTGCAAGTGATTTGATGAGATTCTTATGGTTAGTATTCAATATAGTTTTATATGTGAAGATATTCTATGCAAGGATGGCTCATGCTTAATTGTACCCACCTCTTCAAAAGAAAGAAGGCATGTGGAAAGAGCACGCAATTATGATCAAATAGAACTAGAGTTAATAGTTATGACCAAAAATCTAAGCAAGTTTACATCTATCAATTCGACCTACACCACTTTAAATAAAGTTCTTCTTAAGGGCTTATCTTGCAATAGTATTGGTTTTTTTCTTAAATACTTGTGTGATTGAAGTACTTCTAAATGTATAAAAAATAAAGGCAAAAATGAATCACTTATAGTGATATGTTATCATTGCCTATTTTATTAAAAAACAAGTTTCTAACACAACTTTATAAGCATAGCTTGGACATT